ATACTAGTCGATCGAATTGTCATATCAATTGTGAAATTATTTATTTTTTACATCCCGAATTACATGCGAAACGCATAAAGAGTTGCACCGGTGTACAAAAAGCTGTCTTTAATTCACCAAAGCGCACAGAACAATTTACCTTGCGACACATCACATACATATGTTGACCACTTAAATCTGGAACATTTGCAACTGAGTGAAAGTGCATTCTGATAACAAGCCAATTGCACAAAGCGTATTGCACAAGAATATCAGACAATTTTCATTCTGTAAACATTCAATGAAAAGTGAATTGAATTTCATAAGAAATAAAAAAAAAATGTATTCTTGTTCGTAGCCAGTCCACATCATTCGTCGCAACAAAACGATGTATATTTTAGTTTAGCGGGACGTCTTGCGGAATTTACTTCACTTCTAAATATTTATCCAACAAATTAACATCGGTCAATATTTGTCGTGGTCTCTTACATCGACCGTATAATAAAGACGACGACGATATTTACCTTACGATCAGATGTTATGAGAAGCAACATTCAATTCCATTTGGTCTTTTGAATTTGCAATATTTTTCAACATCAATTCGTATTCTTTGAGAAATGGATTAGCATTTATTGGGCTTAACACTTGTCGATTACATCGAAGACAATGGATCCGATGCAAAAGGCTACCGTTACAATTGTCTATGTAGTATGCATAAACCAGCTGTTTAATTTCATGTCTATATATGTGTTTTGTTTACATCTTTCTCTCCTTCATGCTTTATAATTTATAATTCATATTTTATGATGATTAAATCAAATAATGGCTGATTATTAAATTGAATGATTCAGCACAAATCACATACACATACACACATACACAATTGGCAACGAACGACGGAAGAACAACAAAAGAGTAAGAAAAAGACTTGAAAAAAATCTATTAAAGTAAATAGTATAATAGCGGCGAATGAAGCGTACAATGCGTCTGATAGTAAGTTCAAAATGTTTATCTTAACGTAATATTTGTTATCCATTTTCGGAGATACATTGAAAATCATTGCATTTGCTGTGTGAATACAAACAATCGCGATGGAAGTGATATTGAGCGACATTAGTAGCTGTAATATTGTTTTCGAGAGATGAAAGCATTTAACAGGTGAATTACATCATTTTTTTGCGATTGTTACTAAGATTTCTCGGTAAATTTCACAAGCATTTCACTTTGGAAGGCAATTTGGTGTGTAATTTTCTTTTACCTTGAATTTCATCGTCAAATCTATTGGCATCACTCGTTCAGTGTTTGAATACAGCCACACACAACAAAGTGATGCGCAATCTTCAATGTTTGTGACCAAAGGTCAATCAGCACATTTGAAGCAAAAACCGATTCAGCACAGGAAAAGTTTGGAAATATTCAAGTTCTTGACATGAATTTCGGATCCTGTTCATTTGCAACATTATGTATGTGTGTGTGTGTGTGTGCCATGCGGATTTTAAATCATGCCCGCGCATACGTTGATTCGGTTTGTGAAAGGCTCTCAAAATTGGAAGTGAATCGTGTTTGTCTCACATTGCCATGCTGCCAAAACATCAATTCAATGTCATGCGCGATTGCCATGTCAAACTTGTTCAATATTATAGAATTTGTAGCGATAACAACAATTGATACGCACCTCAAATAAAGCCAAACCAAAAGAAAAAAAAAATCATGCCGAAGCACGTGCAATTTTGTCCGTACGCACATTCGCATCATTACAAGATCAGCGATTGGTCGAGCATATGTGCGAACGAAACATTGACCCACAAACAAACAAAGTGATCAACATTTGTGCATGAAAATTCATCTAAAATAATTGCGCTCTCATTTGAGCTTACACTCGTTTTTTGTTTCATCTCTTCTTCTCTCAATTGCGTAACATATCTGTTGCAACTGGTTTGTGTCTTTTTTAATGCAAAGCATTGCCAAATATTTGTTGCTTTTATGAATGCGTCATAAAACAGGATTAAGGCGGTGTGATCGTGACGATTTTTAGAGATATATATAGTTTTTAAATTGTTGGGTGATAACAACTGTGGGTCAATTTTGGCGTCATCGATGTATGAATTGTTGATTTTCGGCCATTATATCGGCACATTTTTCCATCGTCTTTCCAACAATCACTTTTTACCTCTCTCTCTTTCTATCCCACATGCACGCAAAATACACCGTGTGACACTTATAATATTCATCAAAACTATCCTCAAGTTAATTATATTGTATCTTGTTTTTATCTAATATTCTAATGTGCGTAACTGATGATTATTAGTTAACGTCTATTTACAAGCTTCACAGAGGAGTAAATCACTATCAAATCTTCACTTGATTTCTTTTCAATTCAATTCATTATATTCGCTAGTTAAAGTTTATACATTTTCATTAGCATTGATTTAAATGCGATTGCAATGAAACGTTAATAAAACTAGAAATTCCATCATCACTCCAAAACTAAAACCAAATCAAATTGGTTTCTTCTTTTATTTTGTGGTACATAAATTCAATTGTGTGAATAGCCTAGTGCACAATGGAGCATACATGTATAACAAATATGTACGTCAGTAATATTGATAATATTATTAGTCGACGGGTGTCGGAAGCATAGAAAGTAGTGATAAATTTAGAAATAAAATATTTATAACTAAATGAATTTGCATAAGTCGTCCTTTTTGATTTGCGTACTGTTGCTGTGACGATTTTTATTTAAATAAATATTTGTTGCTAATGTAAACAATGTACAAGTGCCATTCTCCTGCTGATATCCATTCTGGCATTGTGTGTGGTGCGTAACGTTGAATGATTGAACAGTGCGTAATAATGTACTCTACAGCATTAATTATCATAGCCTGACAGATCATGTGTCATTATTCGCTTCAATTAAATCACTTACTATGTTCATTAAACAATTTAATTATGATTGCACCAATTTTTGTTGCTTTCTTATTAAACATCGGTGTCAGATCGATCGGTACAGATGGAATCAATATGTACACCAATCAAAAATCACAAACCAAAAAAATGTTGAAATATGTGGACAAAAATCCTGTTTTTCTTTTACGGTGAGCATGTAATGTGAAAGTGTTCACAAAGAATGCGTTCGCATAGAATCTCGAATAACGAGATTACACACATCGAAAGTGACAGAATGACGAAAGTAAAAGGAACACACATTGACTTCGATGACCATCATCCAAAAGTAAACGAGTGTCACCAGAAGACAACAACATCAGCAGCAACAGCGACTGCAGCCACAGAACGAAAAATAAGACTAGTGAATTGCATATAAAAGCTCACAAATTTAAACGTAAGAATATGATAAAATTGCAATTCTAGTAGGTACATGACCTTGTTTTTGGCGTGGCCGAATACATTTTTATACTCTCTCAGCCTGTGCGGTGCTCACTCACACACACGCGCGCGCGATCAATGGATGAGTGAAGGCAAAAACGCACTCCACACACTAGCCTCACTCAATGAACAAAATTGTATACATTTTTGTTTGCATTGATATTTTATGTCCGAAATATGTGCGCGGCAATCAACAAATCTTTCGATTTGTGTGCATTCCTTCGTCATAATAATTTATCGTCAAAATACGAACAATTTTATAGAACGTCCGAGTTGAAGTATTTGTGTGTGTGTGTTCTTTTTGATGTTGTTATTGTAATTCATATTTTAGATATTTCGTTTGAATTGTTGAAGTGCGTGTGCGCATTTTGGTCGAACTTAGATTCCGTTTAAATGGTTAATGAGCATTTTATTGGGCTTGTGTATATTGTACATTTATGGAGACCATAATAATTACATTAAATCAATGCTTTTGAATAACACAGAAGAGAAGAAGAAGAAGAAGAAGAAGAAGAAAAATAGCCCGACTATACGTTGAATCATTTCTATCCACAAGCGATTTTGTCATGTAAATTGTATAATGATCAAAATGAATGCAACAAGACAGTATCGCGTACACACGGAACCAAGAACGGTAATCATCATGACAGTAGAGACGACTTGTAATATAGCATCGAAAAAATGCATCAATGAACAGCGTTTACGTGTATGTTATATGTGCGTTTATAGTATTTATGCACACTTGGTGGCCGTAACTTATTTTGTACGCCACACACATATATTTAAAACATAGGTGTCTTATTGAAAAGCTTTGCGAGCACCAACAATCCACAAGATTTTCGGACAATATAGCCATTTTCGAATCTATTTATCAACTATAATTCTGTTCGCGTGCGCACTCGTTAACTTGGTGTCTTTTTTGTCTATTTTGACGGTTAGTATTCAAATATGAGAACATATGAATGACATAAGCTCTTACTCTAATACACAAAAGAAGAATAAACTAAATGGAAAATCGATGAAAGAAAAAAGATTAAAATAATTTGTTAAGTGTGCACACGCACGCGTACACACAAATACTGATTGTATTTCGATCGGATAATGAGGTTCAAATGGAATATTATTAATAAAAAGACGAAACGATTTGATTTTAAATGCGGCAATAAAGAAAGGAAATCACACGCATAAATACGCATTGCCGTCGCTTAAAGTTAATAATATTTTCCATGTAAACAAAGGCTACACTTTAAATTTGGCATTGGTGTTCAATTAACAAATTAATCTTTTTATTGCAAATTTACTGTTGCCGCCGCCGTCGTCGTCGTCGTCGTCATCGTCGTTGTTGTTGGTTCAAATGCGCTCAAGCAAGTGTTGCCGTTATATTCGATGGGGCAACCGTCGTTATAGTTGTGCTACTGTTCGATGCGAATGTATGAAGTAGGGTAATGAGAATATGCATTTTCATTGCGGATCGAATTAAAATTCCACAAAACACAAAATTCATCTCTGGTTGTTGTTTCGTTCGTTTGTTCGTTTCGCACATAATTTATTGCTCTTCAATTTGTATTTCGAATGTAATTTGATTCAATTAAATCATTTTGTTATGTTTTTCCTTCTATTTTTTTTCGCCCATGTAGATAGTGTTGCTGTGATAATTTTAGGAATAATTACACTCATCGTGGGTGTACTTTTATCATCTATTCCATGGATAGATTATTTTATTTTAAAGGTAAGTGTTGCTTTTGTACAATTGTCTGTTTCATTTATTTTCTCGTTTCATCTTGCTCAAATACTGCGCACACTTTTGTTATTCGTTTACATTCATTTAATTTTATGCAATTCTCTTTTCGGTGCTATTTATTTCGGCTTGGAATTCAGCTTTTTTTATTCAATCTTTTGAACTGTCTATGGATTCAAGTTCATTCGATTTTTACGTTGCTGCAAATTCACTTTTTTACATTCGACATTATTTTATGAGATTCTTTTGAACTCCGTGCCGTGTTTTTTTTGTTCGCCCTTCATTTCAGGCATTTTTTTTTTTTGCTTCTCAAAAGTCGTAACGATTTGTGAAAATGAAACCGATTATTATGTTATTTGATGAGTGTATTCAAATTCCACAAAAAAAAGTGCGACATAAACAACACGATGATAACGAATATTGAATACAGATTTTCTTGCATTGTAGCATGTTTTATATTCATTTTATAATTGTTTTCTTCTTTTTTTTCTCGTTTCAATTTTCTTTATTGGCCTTATAACAATGCGCGTGCATAAACAGAATTTAAGACTTTGGAATAACACACTTAGTTTTCATTACTGGCAACGGCCAGGTGTAATACGCTTAACTAAAGTCTATATATTCAATGTGACGAATCCGGATGGATTTTTGAATGGTGAAAAGCCAAAATTGGTTGAAATTGGACCATTTGTGTACAGGTATGTTTTCTTTTTGTTTGTTTGTAAATTTATTTTTTTCTCGACATTTTTCAGTGAAGACCATTTGATGCGGTTGTATTGTGCCTTTGGCACGTGTCAAATCGACAATTTCAATTGGAATTCGTTGAAATACACAAATTTATAAATTATGACAAAACATGATATTGCGTGATCATATCAAGTTTTCAATTGTAAATATATACATTGTACGGACAATGGTTTAAATTACGATAAAGTGTTTGGCGGAAGAAGAAAACGTTTAAAATAATCAAATGAATGGAATAAATTTTGTTCCAGTAAAAATCAAAAAAATACCAATTTGTGAAAACATTTATTCAGCGCGGATGAGATGTACTGCGGAACAAAAAAAAATATGGATACTCATTAAGCGCGTTAAAGCGCAATTCATTCACAAAAGTACTTCCTTAATTCTATTTCATCCATTTTGTTAGTATGATTTGTTTTTTCGTTTTCTGAAAATAATTTCCTTTGTCGTTGGAATGATAATGTCCAATGCACGAAAGCTTTTTAGTACACTGTTTGTATGTGGTTGTATGGAACCGAGCATTTGCCAAGACAGCAATTCACTAATCACGTTTGTGGGTGCATATTAGCATCGATCATAGAGATGTGCGTTAGAATTCTAACATCAAAAGATTTAATCGATTGATTGAGCTGTTTTAACCAGTAGTAATTGTTCTGGTAATAATAATTTTTTTTCTCTCTACACGATTAGTTCAAGTAAAACCCGTATATCGCAATGGCACCGGTCCGTTTATGATTGAATCAGAAAACCGCGAATTAACCATACTGAAAAGGTGACTGAGTAAATGCGAAAAATCAAATTGATTTCAACTAATCGATGATCGTATCCCAATGAATAATTATAGCGGTTGTAGAAATCGTCGGTTTGATGTTCTTTTCGCGATGTTAAGATAAATTATTTATTGATTATTTATTCGCTTTTTCGTTTGCTCTCTCTCTAATAAAACATGTTCATTGTAATTTAGTTAATAATTTATAGCGCAAGTATTCGATGATCTTTTGAACTGTTCAAATCAATTCTTGATGAGCATTAGAATAAACTTGTGTTGGATCTCTTTGTCCCCGCTTTGAAGAACAAACATCAATTTAATTCTTGATTTGCGTACAACTTGTCTTCTTCAGTTAACCGGCAATGTTTCGATTTGCTCATTTTTTCAACCCTACAATTACCGTATGGAAAACGGAAATTTCTTGCACGAGAACCGGCACAGACATACACACAGTGAAATCGAATCCGGATTGAAAGTGAGCAACTGTTTCGTTTAAGTGCTCAAAGTCAAAACAACTAATAGTCGCTTCGTCTCTATCTGGATTTTTCGGTCTCTGTCTATCGACAATCATTGCATGTGAGGCATGGATGCTGATAAATAGTTAAAACCATTTCAGATCCAAAGTATATTTTCGGTTTTAAAACTCGTCTTACCTGTATTCCAATACTTATGATCCAGTTATTTCCATGAAACAAAGATCGAACAAAAAAGTTGCGAATTAAGATGGAATTAAGAAAAAAAGAGCATTGAATGCACTTGTATTTGCTGCGCCATTGGACGCGCTTATTTACTTGCTAGTTAGTTCGGAATCCATTCTTTTTTCCTCGCTTCTCATGCATTGAAATTTATAGAATAATTTCATGAATGGTTTTTTTCCTTTTCGATGCACGTATGCGCGTGACTGCAAATGAAAATTTCAAGTTCTTTGTTGACAATTAAGTTTTGTGTTGCAACATAAATCTGGTTCGGAATAGAGGTTTTTGACTCACAAAATGTATACATTTTTATATATGGTGAATCGATATACTCACTTGCCTTGCGACACCGGTTCCATGCAACAGCATCAACAGCTCATATTTGAGCAACTACAACAACAACAAAAAAAAGTGAAACAACGAATCACATACAAACCATTCAAAATTTGCGTTGGAATATGAACTTGGCGGAGAATGGTCTTAAAAAAAATATATTTTTATGAGACTTCCGATCAAATTGCAATCACTTGAATGAATCAATTTAGTAATGGTTCGGTTTTCTTCTTTATTTTCAGAGAGGATATGGAAAAGGTGAACATTAAGTTTCATGATAACTATACGGTTACCTATCAACATAAGAAAATTTTGCAATTTGTGCCTGAACTAAGTATCGACAGAAATGTTCGTGTTATGACACCAAACATCCCCTTATTGGTATGCATTTGCGTTTCGCATATTTATCCAATTCTTCGTCACTATCTTTTTTTTTAATATTTTCGATTTAAATAGACATTATCTTCGCAATCGAATAAAATTGGTGCAATACTTGGGGCGGGCGTATCATTTGCGCTCACAATGACGAGGCTACTGTACGGGCCGAAGTTTCAGCCGTTTATATCGGTGACGGTGAACGAATTACTATTTGGTTATGAGGATACACTTGTTAATATGGCGCACACATTTTATCCGCGTAATATACGACCAGATATGTCGAAAATGGGTCTGCTACTTGGCGTAAGTATCAACTTTTATTTTATTAAAAATTTCAAATCGTAGTGATACATATTGTCTACATTCAGGCATACAAATATTTAAAATTCTTCTACAATAATTTTCTTACTCTTCTTTGGGTGGATTATTTTATATCTTTCTCTCTGTACAGCGCAATGGAACTTTAACCGAAGTCTCTACAATAAACACTGGTCATAATGGTATGGATAAATTTGGTTATCTCGATCAATTGAATGGAATGGATTCGTTACCGTTTTGGGATAGTGAACCGTGCACAAATATTACCGCCTCCGAAGGCTCCTTTTTTCCACCCAGAGAATACACAAAAACCGATATGCGATATGTTTATGACAAGGATTTATGTCGTATTTTGCCGCTTGAATTCCGTAACACCGTCTATAAAGATGGTATGACACATTTTAGATAGCAAGCTTCCTTAATACAAACCCCGAATTGTTTCGGATTGAAAAATAATGTGATTGATTTTGTTACAGGTATACCGGCTGATTTGTACAGTACACCGGACAACATTTACGGTGATTCTGAGAAAAATTCAAACAATTCATGTTTTGATACCGAAGATTATAAAGCCCCAAGTGGTCTTCAGAACATAAGCCCTTGCCAATACAGTAAGTTTTGATTGCATTTCTGTGGAATACATAAGTATTGACAAAGGATTTTTATTCATGGTTTCCTTTAGGCGCTCCAGTTTACATTTCGAATCCACATTTCTACTTGGCCGATCCAGAACTTTTGAATGCTGTCGATGGTTTAGAACCAAATCAATCCCTTCATGAAACATACTTTAAAATTCAACCGGTAAGTTGAAAATGTCATAGATGTAGTGTCTTAATCTTAAGCATATTCTTATCCTGGTTCGACTTTTTTGCACAACAGAAATTGGGCGTTCCACTTGAAGGAAAAGTACGGGTTCAATTAAATTTGAAAGTTGATCAATCGATTTACATCAGTTCATTGAAGAATTTCCGCAGCTTCATTTTCCCCATCATTTGGGTTGAAGAGGTGAGTTTTCAATTTTTTTTTTATATCGAAATAAGATGCTTAATTGTGGATTTTTATTCAAATATAGGGTATTGCCGAATTGACACCATCAATACGACGTTGGATCTACTTGGCAACCGTATTTGGTCCGGCCGCATTGCCAATTCTATCATACAGCATGATATTGGCCGGTTCATTTATGTTGATGTTTATATTTGTGCGTGCTTACAAGAATTTTGTCTTTCATTCGGATCCAACCGTTGAATTGCTCGAAATGGGCCGACGATCATTACGGCGAGGTAGCAGTTTTTTGGTTCAACATCAACACCGAATAATGTTGCACCATCATCAACGTGACAGTTATATGTTACTCAAAACCAATACAAATGACATCGATCTGCTGACATAGTGTAGAGAAATTTAAAGCGAAAAAAAAAACACGAGAATACTTTCCTATTTTAAATGATACACAATTTCTGTTGATAATTTTACTGCATAGAATCTACATTTAATTTAATTTCCTACACCAATACAACGACAACAAACCTGTTCCATTGCCAATCATGCAAAGAACTGCACACTGCATTGTAACTTGTATCACAAGTTTCAGCAGAAAATTCACTTTGAATTGGTTCTTGAATACTTTTAAAACAAATCAATAGAATACGAACAAAGACTTGTTGTTTTGCCTTTCGATTATGACAGTGACTGCCATTGATTTCGCATCGAAAACAAAATTCCGATCATTTTATCTATGTTATAAATAGGAATAATACATCGCAGCATTTGAATTGTATCTATCAGCCGCTCAATTTAACACTTGTCACAAAATTATAAAGCCAAAATCGTTGCGTTGCAATTCTCATTGAAAGCAAACACTAAAAATGCACCATGTTTAAAACAAAAGACGTTGGAATTATTTCCTGGGCTTGGACTACATACTTGGAGAAAGTTTCGGAAAATAATAATCCAAATTTTTGAAATTGTGATCGTTTTTTAGCTGTAGATTTAGATGATGTCGATGAGAGTATGGCTTATTTAAAAAAAAAAAATGGTCCATTCAAAGCCAAATTAATATTAAATATGAAAATTGTGTGCTAAATGAATATTTGTTTATAGTTGTACGTATTAACTTAGGTTTATTTAATGTTTGTTTGCCATGTAAAATCATTTAGATTGTAGCGAATATTTAATAATATAGTGTATTGTTGAGACGACCGAAATTGAAGAGGAAGCCAACTATACATATATTGTGCAGGGCTGTTTAGACTCATCAACATGAGACAAATGAAAAATGTGTTTGTTTTGACAAATGTTGATGCATTCCATGAATTTTTAACTCAATTAATCAATTGAGTCGCTCAAATTGTGTAAGTCTTCAACGTGCAATTAAGCGAAAGATAACAAAGAACCAAAATGCAATGAAAGAAACCAGTATGGAGAAATAGAAGGAAAAAAAACGAGACATTTTTCAAATATTGAAGAGTTCTGCCGTCAAATCGGCCGTTTGCCATTATGCACCTGTAATGATGATGGTCAACGATTGACACCATAATTTCTTTTTTACCTTTTCTGAATCTCACTCAGCTTACCATTTAATGCCAATAGGAATACTTTATCCGATTCGTCACATTTAGTAGGTATGCTGTTGTTTTATTTTTCTTTTGTGTATGTGCATGCATTCCAAAATAAAACCAAATTGCAAAACAATTACCGTCCATGCAATTTTTAGAATTGCAAATAAAATGTGTAAATAAATGTAGTTTTTAAAATTGATTTTCATGTTTAAATTTTTGTGGAAACGAAATTTCATTTTGTTGGTATTATTTTCTATTTAACAAAGCAAAAAAAAAAATTGTTGTTTGGTCCGTCCAAATTTTTTATACATTTAATGTTTGAATGCTTTTGACCAAATTTTAAACGAGTGAATGTTTTAGCTTTTAAATGAATTAGATTAACAAAAATAAAATTTAAAAAATAAATAAATTTATTTAATTTGTGAAATGACAAGAGAGAAAGAAGAAAAATATGAAAAAGTAATTTCAATTTAGGGAAAATACCATTTTTTAGCAAGACAAACGCAATCGATAAACAAAAATATATCCAGTTTTGAAAGGAATTTCTCTAATTTTGATTTTTCAAATTTATATTTTATAATATCTAATTTAATTATATTCGGAGACAAAAGCAAATAAAAAAAATATTATGGAAAAAAAACAATAAAAATTTATCAATTAAATGCAGCTTTATTAAATATGTATGTTGTTCATATTCATTTTCATGGTAAATCATTTTTGTGACGAATACTTGGAGAATGAGGTACATTTAATTTCGCTTATGTTCATCAACCATTTGGTAAAAGTTTCAAGAAAAAAAAAGTTTGCATGGCATCGATATATATGTAGAAATGAATATTCTTTGATGGAAAAACATTGGATGAACCGAACCAATTCGAAACAATTATTTATTGGAACAAATATGGAGTGTGTGTGTAAGAGAGAGAAAGTAAAAGATCGATTATGTGTGGAAGAAGGAGAAAAAAGGTAACATTCACGATTAATTTGATAAAAAACCAAAAATTCAATCGCACACACAGTAAATGAATGCGCATAAAAGTGGAAGTGTGTGTGTGGAATTCAGGGGCTGTGGCGAAGCAAGCAAACGAGGATACGTTCAATTTCTGTATTTGACATATCGTTAAATCAAAACCTTAGTGTTTTTCGATTTGATTTCGAGTTATGATGTTGCCGCCATGGATTTCATTGATGACGATGATGATGAATCAACGATGCTTGTGAATTTGTCGAATTCGGATTCTATTAAGCGATTTGCTTGCAAAGCGAATAAATAACACACCCACATAGAGCTGCATACAGTTTGAACATTAAAAGCGATTAAAAGAGCGTATGTCCCTTTCGCCTGCAAGCATTTTTTTTAATCATACAAAATTCAAAGTTGTGCGTATGCTGTTTTGCAATAAATTTATTCAAAATTTTCAATTCAACTAAAATACAAATACAAATATGCGGCTCGCATAAAAATGACATACATTTATCGACTAAACAATTTCAAATACAATTATGCATAACAATATATGCAATCCGTTTTCCATGTCGGTTTTCTCTTCTATGATTGGACCATTTTAAAAAATGTTCCACATTCCATATCGTCGCTAATCACAATGCAATTGAATTATAAATATAATAAAATCTCTTACAAAAGAAAAAGTCTTAAACATAGAAAATTAAATGCGAATGAATAAAGTGGTTCGCATTCGAATAGAATTCATTTGAGTTGTACAAATTTGATGGTGTTGATGTTGGGTCAAGGAGCCCAGAATTTTATGACAAAAGTATATGTAGCATGTATGGAAAAACGATCACGAAAACACAATGAAACAAACGAACTAACAAAAACGTATTAAGAATTGTTAAATAATCAAGTTTACAATTGGAAATGATGCATGGAATTGTGGAAATCGGGTCGATTGTGATTGTAACGACTGGATGTGCGATTTGAAAACTGTGAAATGCTGTCGTCTCCATTTGCGGTTTGCATATGATGTGGTGGAGCAACTAGCAACACCGGTTGTAAATTTAGCGATTTTCGTGAACCAGCTATGCTAACGGCGTCCGTTAAATACGCATTATTTACCTCGCCTGAATGTATGCACACCAATCGAACGACGAAAAAAAAGAGAAACACATACAAAATGTGATTAGCATTTTATGAAATAATGTGAATTGGTTGCCTGAACGTGTAAAATTACCTTTAAACATAGAATTTTGGTACATTGGTTCGGGTTGTAATCGTACATGTCGTGTGGCTAGTATGAATGCTAATGTGGCCAATATACACGCATCAATGCAACCTGTAAATGCGAAAATAAATTTAATACAATCGATTGGCTGACAGAGAGAGAGACCGTCAAATATTGATGTCATTTTAATGATAATATGCTGATAATTACCAATGATGGCCAAGGGATATGCCCATCGTATTCCGCATAAGCCGAGCTCAAATCGATTGGATTCTGGGCCGCATATTTTTCGAAAATCATTCGAATTCCATCCAAACGGAAATGCAACACATCCCACTATCATGCTGATTGCTGTAAGCAAAATATCGACAAATTACTACAATGAATTACAACCGAAAGTACGTTATTACATTCGAATAATAATGAATGGAATTGAGCGTTGAACCAAATAACAAGTTACATATGCACAATTTGAAATAACCTAATGAATTTTGAAGCGTTTGTTTATCGTAGCGTGTGTACATTGGCGCCCTGAAAGCGTGCAAGTCAAAATCATAGTTCCTTATGCGTGTTTAAAATCGTTGTAATACATTTGAATGTGTCTTGAATTCCGAAAACCGCTTCCTTTTCCATTCGAAATAAACGATTCGGTTGACGGCAGATGAAACATCAGGAAAGTATTCAAATAAAAAGACCCTATCATTTTTCGATGTAAAGAGATATTAACCAGCAGCTGTTTTTTTACAGCAAACTCTCTTGTTTTTGATACACTTTGCTGATACATTAATTTCAATCAAAGCCAAATCGTGCATATGTGATTTAATTATTATTATAACATACAAATCAGATGCTAGTAGTTTAATTACACTAGAGAGTGTGTATATTCAAATATCTCTTTTTTCTCATTTCGTTTCTAATCTATTCCACCTTTTTGTTATTATATTTTGCCAGTAAGATCTGTTGTTTTGGCTCTTAAGCTCTTATGCAAATGTCTATGTAATGTTTCTCCTCTATTTAGCGTCTATAATGTAAAAATTTCAATAAAAAAAAATAATAATACGAAGAGTGGCTGAATTCAAAATAAATATTAAATCTGAAATACAACTTTCTCAAGTTCAATTGTAGCCTGAGTTTGTATAAATTTTTCAATTGCCTCTGGTTGCATGGATCTTTCGTATTATTTTTTTGTTTCGTTTCTTCTTCATTTTTCTTCTGCATAAAATACTAGCTAGATAAGCGATGTAATATATACGAAAATGAAAATTGTATTGAATCAATCGTCAGCGGGTCGACTTTCTCTAGCACGTCTGTAGGTGACTTCAAATAAAAATTGTGGATTTAATTCAATATCACAATATCAACGATTAAATATCGTCAGATCAGCTGTCAAAACAATTAGTCTTGGCATTAGCACTCGACTTTTCATGATTTAAGTGTGAAAATAGTGAGCAAAAGAAGGTACAAAAACAACGCACTCTTATTTTTTTTTTTGCTATTGATGCTCTATTTTTCGCAGACTCTGTGTTACAATTCAAATGCGGTGTTCCGTTGATTTACGCAGAAAATTTAAAACAATAACAAAAGAGCCGCAACAGAAGCAACAACAGAAAATAATAATAATAGAATTGATTCACACACATCGCCTTTGAATAAACGGCACTCACCGTCGCAAAACGTGTGTAAGTGTATATGTTATTTATAGCGTATTTGACTTCACTTCTCTACCTGCAACAATATGAATATATAGACCAGAATTTACAAAAAAAAAAACTTTAACACTATATTGTTGACAGTAAAATAATTGCAAAACGACGAATAAGCCGAATAAAAACCGGCTTTTAGATTGGTCGCAAATAACCGTTAAGTTAACGTGTTTCACAACACACCATTAGTAAGTTATACCATTACAATTTCCCGAATGTATTGTTTTTGTGAAATGTTGCGGTGTGGGGCAGCTTTGGACTTTAAGCCAAAAAAAAAGAGTTCAAATGTAACACCAAGTTAAGATTCACGAAGCAATCAAGTGCGGAATCGGATTGAAGATATTACGAAGCCGTTCTATTGTCTGCACGCCATTCAAGTGGTGCATGTAATTATCGAGACAAATTCATTAGTTGTGGCAATTAATCTGTTCGCTGTTTTTATTTGCCATGCTAACCAGACGATTTTATCTTTCATTTTTTTTGTTTTCGATCTTAATTTATCTCGCTCGCAGAATCATCCAAAGCATCGTTTGGCTATGAAAAAAAACCCGCTGGAAATCGATTATAGTCGCATTGTTATACGATTCACGATAATTAATTGGAAACCGTTTAGGCACTTCCATTAACTAATTTGATAGTTTTTTTTTTATGCGTTTGTTGTCGAGCGCTCAAGACGATAACAACAAGCAAAAAAAGCGAATCAGCTAATCGATTTATAATGATATGTACTTTTCGGTATTCATTGTCCATTGAGTTCCTCGTTCGTTCATGCGGATCACATATTTATACACATTTCATTTGGCCAAATCATACCGAGATGTGAAGCACACGAAACGCTTCATATCACACATATCCATTTCGAAATAGATCATACCTCTTGAATGGCATTGAAAGAGTGTACAATTTTATTTAAATTTGATGATATATTTGTTTGGTTCGAGATCGAGTGCGCAGGGTGTGCAGTCTGATGGAAACTGTATTCGAATTGAATTGAAAATGGAAAATAAAAGTGCATATAGCCTATTGCACTCGGTAGTTTTTATGCGTCACATCTGCGAAAATTAATTCGTTTGGCAAAAATGGTTATTATTTTGTTTTGTATCTTTCATTCTTTCTTTCTGTGTATTCATTAAATATTCAATTTTTTATTCTCGGTCTAGGCGAGAAAGAGATAATGTGCGCATATGTATCGTATTGTTGTTGTTGTCGTCGTTTTTTTACCTGTAATAAAGTGTATATGCATAAAATGTGTACGCCACTTTACTTGCAAACGCATCAGCGGTACTCTCGTCTCATTGTCCTATGTTTCAAAGCCTTTTTATCATGAACATTCTTTAATCGCTTGATTCTATTTTCAATGGCCTATAACATTCAATTCTGAACCGGTTTCTTTTATAAAGCATAGAAACGTTTTTATTAAGTTGGAATCAACAAGCTAGTTGCTTTTGTGAATGTGTTTTTTTTTCTCCGGTGAATTGCATGCCAGCGAGTGAGCACTCAAAGTGCTTTCTACGATGACTACGACGATGATGATAATGACGATGGCATTTAAACAGTTCAATGTAAACTGCTGCATCGAAGAAACTGATCTCAATTTTATGATGGTCATAAGTTTTTGTATGCATGTGTTCGTGTATATTGGCAATGGCCGCGTATTGAGCAAAAATTTTCACTCTGTTTAAACCATCAAACGTATAATTGTTCTACATAAATCTTGTCTAAAATGGGTGAACAGGTAATGATAAATTGATGTTTTGATCACAGCACTCATACAATCGTCCATTATAAACGGCGTATATTGCCAAGTTTCTAATCCTTTATCGTGACGTTCACGTGAATTGCGATCTTAAATTATACGGTCAATATATGTGACACGACATTGGTGCCGTGCACCATTCTCTTCTGGTTTTCTTATTAACAATTGATGATACCGCCTTTGCTTGCAAAATGTCGTATCCAAAAACCATTTACTTGAATTAAACGTAATAAATTTTGTTTGTTTTTGTCATACTATACACTATTTTTTTTCTCTCTCTCGTTATATTTGCGCCACAAAGAAAATATATATATATGTGTGGTTTTAGTTCAACCATATAATAACCATTTGCATATGAATGAGAGCATGATAGAAATTCAACATTGAATATTATCAAAAGCAATGGAGTGAAATGTTTGCGTGCAAAATCTCCATTTCATTGGTGATTCACCTTTGTAAACACCATAAAATGAATCAAAAACAATAAATCAACGCTTACTTGCTAATTAATTTTACCTGATAGAATTTGCATCCAACCGCAGATATGAAAGACAGTCGTCGATTTGAGGAAAAATAAAAAAACTAGAAATAAAATGGTGAGTACTGCTGTGACAACCGATAGACCAACGAAAGCCGTCGCCACCTAATTAAAAATCCGTTCAATTGAAATATTGAATATAAAACGTGAACAGAAAAAAAAGAATTGAAAGAAAAGAAAAATCCATAAATCAAACTTTTCGATCGAATCGGAAGTGTATGAAATGAGGAAGGAAAATGGTCGATGTATTATAAGAAAAAGTAAAAGTTAAGCTATTGAAATGAACGAGAGCCATATGGCAGTATGAAACAATTACCTGAAACGGAATCGAAGGTATCGATAGAAAATCGGCCAACTGTTTTTGGCAATTATCCGATGTTTCGTCACGTTGGCATACTTGCCATAAGCCTAAACGACCTGCATTCTCTGAATCTAAATCACCAACCCATTCTAATAAGATGAAATGAATTTAAAAAAAATAAGAAGAGAGAAACAAAACGATGACCAGAGAGAAAGAGAAGAGATAAAAACAAGCGAAACGCCGTTCAATTCAATTTAATTTCAATTGTATTTTAACCATCAGAATCGAATCGCAATTGACCTGACACACTGTAGGCCAATAAATAGTTGTGTCGAAAATCGTGTGATTCAATCCATTTCAATTGTTTGCAGATTTTTCCATGTTTCACGACGTTGTTTGCGCTAAAAAGTGAAAACCGCATTCAATTTTACATTTTTATTAATTACCTGGTGTGAAAAACGCCACCGCACTTATAATGGCATAGCATATTGTGAAAATTGCCCATAGAACTGCTATCGCTTTCGAGTTTCGAATATAATTCGTTGCATGCAAGTGATTCGAATCCACATATTCAATTTTTGTACCCATGTTTTATGTCGCCGGCGTCGTTGCCACTTATCACCTCGAGCGTATTCAACGTTATGGTGTTTGATATTTGCCACTTGGCCAGTTAATTTGATGCTATCTTCAAAATCGATTTGCAAATTATTCGATTTGATTTCGTCATTCAGTATACATTTGAAAGCTGATTATGTCGCGATATTGGCTGAAAATGGAGAAATTTGTTATACGCGATGATTTTTTGTTGTACTAAAGTAGTATGTCTTTCATAACTGATTTGGTCCAAGTTTTAGCCCATTCCATATGTATTACCCGTAAAAAGAGAGTAAACACATCGTTTATGATCATGCCAACAAAATTATTGTCGAGTCACGACAAACCATTTTCAGAAGTAAATATCTCGATTTTTACAACATTATAAACAGAAAACAAGCAAAACTGGCAAAAATTCAATTCCATTCGTTTTGCGATTCAAATAAAATCAAATTAAAGCACATTTTCAGCAATTTCTTCTCACAAACATCCAGAATCTGAGTGGATGTTTTTGTTTTTTCAATTGTTCAAGTTATTAAACGGGATTGCCATACTTTGATCGCATAAGTTGATGTACTTTTAATTTGCCGTGAGAGAAGCTGCACTATTTTCACAGCAGCATCGAAGTTATAATATTTTTTTTTATAAATAACATGTAAATGATTTTTAGACACGAAACCCTTGGGAACACTTTTAAAAGTGCGCAAGAGAGAGAAGACAGAAAAATAATACAATTTACGAGCATCAAGCCCTATTTTTCTGAGAGAATATAAGAAAAGAGTTCATTTTAGTTTTCCCGTTAAACGTGTCATTCGGCATATAAATACGATTGAAATGCCACCGCAAAATGCTTTTCATCATAATTTAATACAGTGAAATGGAAGCGGAAATTATGACAGACTAACTCAAACAAAGCAATAATAAAAAAAAAACGAAATGAAATCTTATTTATATATACTTTTTGACATTATTATTTCAACAACAAATGAAACATAAAAAAAATCGGATGAAAATAATAACACTAAATTATGGAAAGACGAAAATAAAACCAAAAAAAACTAATGAAAGAGAAAGATAATGCTGAATTGAAAATACGGAAACTCATAAAATTGTTTGTTTAGCTTGAGTTTGTATTTGTTTCTTTTACGCTGCAAATCATATTTGTTCGGTGCTTGCGTCTGTATTGGTGTGGTTGAACGCCTTTTTGTTTTTTTCATCACCTCACTGTCATCATTCGTAATGAACGTTTCAAATTTTTAATTGTTTGAAATTTATCTTCGGAGTTTATTGTCCCTTCATTGGACATTTCTTCAGTTTCATTTTCGTTGCAATTTATTTCGCTAATAAGCTTATCTTTTACTCTCTTTCACTTTTTTTATATTCATTTGATTTTTAAAAAAACGGCTTAAACAATGACCAAATATAATTATACAAATTGCGGTATGAAATTATACAATAAAAAAAAATTGCATAATGTCGTCTTCGCACTTCGACTGAACAATTTTTGTGTCTTAGCTCATCAAATTCTACATCTTTGAATTTGAAATTGTACATTGCGTACAATTTCTTCGAATACAAATAAAGTTTAAAAAAAAACTATGAATATTCACGAAAATGCAAATGGAATTTCTTATAAGCATTGTTCGGACGCAATCAATGTTGCGTCTCATTCTTTTCTTCAACAAACAAAAAGAGTTTATTACTATGGGCGGCTGACTGTATATAAAAATGTGTTTCCGCTTAAAATCACTTTTCTTTCACTCGAAAGAAATAAAATGCGGCTATTCTTTGAATAAATTCGGCTGGTTTTTTGGAGATTTTGTTGCGTGTCGACCTTTTCGTACATACGACTTTTGTTCTCTAATCGTGCACACACACACACATGCAAAGAACCTCATTTGATTTATTATTCAAAATTTCGTCTGACGTATGGATAAATTTGTTTGTGGTTTTGGTTCTCAAAATAAAGCAACAATTTGTCCATATATGAATGGAAATCAAATACTCTCTCATTTCATTTCGTTTGCTTGATCTTTTCAATGCACTCAACCACGACCGAAAAAACTCATTCGGAACAAACCGAACTTTTTTTCCCATCTCAAGTGTATGTGGCTGACCACTTCTTGACGATATTTTGCGAAAATAAATCAACAAAATTTATTGAAGGAGAGCATGTTTGCACACAATTGTGTCGATTATTGCCACCATTACGAGGTCGAACCATACAATGAACGAGAGATACCACGAATTGCATGAAATCAGAGTGTGGAAAGTGTGGCCATTGCACTATTTCATTATCGTCTTGACAAATGTATTCTTTTTTTGCCAATTTTGGTGAGTAAATGATAATGGTTAAACTAAAAGATTATCGAAACATTGGTGCTTTTTTTTGTGTTGCACACTCCGCAAAAATAGTACATTCCTCTTTTGGTTATTCGGGTTCATCGTACAAAAATTGTTCACAAATTCTTCTTATTTGCACACCGTGTCGCATTTTTCATTGGATTGATTCGATATGAAAACAGAAGTAGATTCGTTTTTATCTTCTTTCAGTGCCCTCCATCGTATCTATTCATCATGCATTTTATTTCATTTTGTATCTTTTACGCGTGTGCTTCTTTTTTAAGTATCTGTTTTCATTGTGACCTATTGGGAAACCTTTCACAAAACGGCTTCACGATGCCGTTTGCACAAACATTGGGCATACCCAGCAACAGCCGTACAACAAAGAACAAGCAGAAATACACTCAATGATTACCAATACATCTTGGTGGTTCTTGGTGTTGTTTGCGGGCACACAAGATCGCTTATATCGAAAGCGAACGAGTAGAAATTAAAAGAGAAACAAAAAAGTTAAACATGTTAGCTTAAACAGGAATGACGACGGTTTTGTGTTGCATTCTCTGTAAATATTAATGATAATATCGGTGCTACGTTTCTATATGTGGTATCTGTTGTTTGTTCTCCTTCAAACACATACTTGTAGTGGCGATAATGCTGTTGTTGATCATCATCATGATGATGACAATGTCGATGGACTACATTCAAGAGTGACTAAAAAGCATAAATTTCTGTGATATTGGAAATTTATGTTCTTATTTTCATTTCTAATAGCTTTTTGTACCTGTTTTTTTTGCAATATTCGGGAAACATTTTATTGGTCCATTGTTTGTTGGACAACGAGTGCAGAAAATGAACGAATATATTTGTGTGAATGAATTGCGATGATAGATGCTGAAAGAACGGCGAATGATGCAAAGTCTTACAATGTATTGTTTCAGCAAAGAAACAAAAAAAAAATGCGGTCGATGTGTTGGTATGGGAGTTGTAGTTTTTGTTTTGTCTTTTGTCTTCTTGAACATCTGAAATCATTATTTATAAATAGGAAATCGACGAGAGAATATACAACTGTAAATTATGACAGACTCATCGTTTGGCGCGTGATTTGATTCGTTTTTTTTTAGTTTTCGAAACTACCATTAAATAATGATCTTTTGTATCCAAACAATGCGGTATTATTTTTGCGATGTTGTTATTCTTCTTTCGAAGTAAAATCCAAAAACATTTTCGAAATTGAAATTTTGCACACCGTATTCATGCACAAAAATGTTTGAAGGGTTCGAGAGTAAATATATAATCATATTTTTTGCACATGCCATTCAATGAAAACAACACCATTGTTCATTATCTTTGGCTTGTCTAATCTGTTTATTTGGATGTGATGACAGGACGGTACATGTGAACGAATTAAAAGTGAAACGAAAAACTATACGGAAAAAATGAAACGCATTGGAAAAGTGTCTCTGAATGAGTTTACCCGACAATCAGAACATCGAAAACTTGTTTTTATTCGGTTCACCACATAAAAGCATATATATACACACAAACAGATAATACACACCGATATATATGTATCCGCGCATACATAACTTCTTCGTAAACCGAAATGTTCGAATGATATTTGGGTCTTTCGTAGCATTTTATTTTCTAATGTGCGGTTTACTTGAATGGCCCGAAAATGAGATGCAGCACATAAAAGCCATTCTATGCGAACTAGTCGAAAAAGACACTGAAGCACGTAGGTGCAATTGAAAATTCATGTGTTTAAACCGATTGTGGCGGCAGAGAGCAGAGATAATATATGTACACATATGGGATCACATTTCATAAATGCAAAACCGTGACAGTGTCCACATGTCTACCATTGAACACTTCATTTAAATTTCATTTAGACACACACACACATATAGAGAGAGAAAGAGAGACGATTGGTTTGGTTGAATTGCTTGCTGCACTCCAGCAGCTACCTACAATAACAGCGCACATATCCGTTTAACATGAACTCGTCGGTGGTTATGTGTTTCGTGACTTTCGTCAAAATAAGTATATGTGGTATCGCTATAAATTCGAAAAATTCTCTCTTCCTTCTCGGTGAAACTGACTTTTATCTTTATCTCACACACTATGCAAACGATTTGTATTCTTTTATGTTCCGGGCATAATTCAATATATTATTTTTATGTTCACATCTACATGAATGCACAGCCACACACAAATGGGTTACGTTGATAAATTGTGCCGTTATTTGTTTATTATTTTCTTTTTCTTGACATATATGTATGAGTGCATGTGCAATTGATATGCATTTTTACTTTTTGACCAATTATAACTTTTTTATTTCATTCTACATACAAATATGTGTCTGTTTTTTTTTTGTTTTCATTTGGTTTTATACACACACATATTTTAAATGAACCAAATAAGCACTACATAATCGCACAGAGTTCAATCCAATTACAAATGCCGAATGCCGATTTTGAACTCGTTAATCACTTGTGCCAACAGCTCGAGTACACACCAAATCACGACTTCTTCTTTTCACAAATAAATTGAAGTGTTGATCACTGCATTTGCGATCAGATTCAGTTCGAAAATGAATTTTCGATCAAAAACTCTATACTTTTAAATTATCCATACCAGTTTCTGGGTCTTTATATTTTTATTCTCTTTTTGGTTTTTTTCTATTTGCTGGATCTTTCACTCTTGGAATTTGAGCCGTGCGCATCGCACGCGGCTTAGCGATAGAATGAAGTTCACAAGATCGAAACAAACAACAAATTTACACGGATATCACGGAATTGGCGATACTCACTTTTATAACGGACTAACTTAACCACACGATGGCAGAGAACCGAATGAATGTGCCGCGAATTGTATGTGCTGCTATTGCTTCTGCTGTTGTGCTGCCTCTTAATATTATTATTTTTTTCTTTTTTGTTTTCTTTTCGCTTCTTTCTTTCAGCTTGTTATGTTCGTCTTCGTTTCGTTGTTTTAACGTATTTTATTATTGTTGTTGCCGTTGAGTGTCTTTTGCTGCTTTTGTTGGGCGAAGCCACAGCAAAATATCAGAGAGCCAACCTATGCTTGTGACGAATCGATACTCTTTCACGGTCGACACACAAAGAAAGGTATGTGATGTGTGTGTGTGTGTGTGTGTGTGCATGTTGTTCATCTACTTTTCATTCACAATGGACAGGCGACAAGCAAACAAACAAGCACCACACATTGGCGTCTGCATTCCCTGTATGAATATTTATATCGCATACATTATCAATGAATGGATCGAATGCAAATATCTTGTAAATACATTTTAAATAAATGAAAAAGATAGAATAAGAATCTAATAAACGCTAAATGAGTCTCTCAAAATTCAAATTGAAAATTTGATGATGTTGAAACCATTTGAGTGATGCGAACATCATTATTACTACTTCTACGATCATTGTCAGATGAGTGACCTTTTTTTTTCTTTTTATCGTCAGCTTTTGTTTCGATGCCTTCACGATTCATTCATAAACACTTCAAGAATCGTACATTCAATTGAAGATATACTCTTATTGGTTCGCAAGACCAGCGGCAGAAAAGAAAAAAAAGCACTCATCAAAATCATCACGATTCGTACCGAAAACCGAAAATGAAGATGCCACTCATCAATTGCTACTTTAACATTGGATCGATTGTTCCATAAACAATAAATAATAACAAACATTATATACTTTTTTTCCTTCTTGACATTTATCATATTTAATTTTTTTTTCTTATTACAATTTTAATAAATGCACATTCACATCGATCATCGTTTTTATATTCTCGCCTATTTGGTCATGTCTATGTATTGTAAAAAAAAGCGTTCCTCATTATTATTATTTATGGTCACTCTTTCTTATATCAACGAAAGACACGCTTTGTTCAATTTTAATGAGGCTCCATTTTTACAGTGGATCCCGGGGAACGGCCGTTTATAAATTACAACACATTTTTGCGAGAAAAAAAACATGAACCCATTCTAATATTATCGTTTAAATTAGTAAATATATTTATATTTATTAATTGGAAAAATAATTCATTATTTGTATTTATCATCTAAATATAGTTGGCATTCAATCCAAATTTAAACGAAAATTATTCAAAAATTGATGAAATTTTCCATAACATATTTCATTATTTCAAAATAAGACATAAGTGGTAAAATCTATTCAATTTAAATGAAATTTCATGAATAATAATGTTTCGTTCTGTCAATTGGTAATTCCCTAAAATTATGAAATTGAAGTAGAATATTTAAAAAAAAAAAAAGAACTAGAGCTAGTCCGTTCGTTTTGTATTCGTACATTTTAATCCTCAAATTTAACGGAGTTTACATTTACTGAATCAATAAGACCGCCTTTGTAATTTCCGCGCTTTTTCTTTGTTTTTTCATGTCTAAATGATTTACCGCGTGTATGCTTTAAAATCTCATTTGCTTTTTGACCCCACGATCCTTTTGCTCCTTTCTATATGTAAACAAGAAACAATTTCGAATTAAATAAACATTTTATTTCCGTTCAATTTGGTAAATTTACCTTTGCATCAAATGAATTATTTGCCAAGCGTTCGTCGACTTCGACTTCTTCGGTTTTAACTCGTCTAAATGGTGTGTTTGATTTTGAATTTGAGCTTTTATTAAATGAATTATTTGTGTTATTTGCCTTCTTGGCGATTGGTGTTTCAGTATCTTCCGACGCGGAAAATTTTCTCTTTTTACCACCAGCTGGCGTAGCATTATTTTGTACGACTGGTTTTTGTTCTTCACTATCGGAGGAATCTTCACTTGATGATTCCTTAGCCGGTTTCTTAATGGTTGGTTGCATTATACCACCCGATACAAAATTACCGTACTTCAATGTATTATGCGGCGTACTTGTTTTTGTTGGTGACAATTTGGCTGTTGTTTTTGCCACTGATTTTTCTTTTTCATCGTCGCTATCGCTTGAGTCCGACGATGATGAATCTTTCTTTTTAGCAACTGAGTTATTTGCTAATTTTGGCTTTTTTGCTGCAGTTTCCTCTTCATCTGAGCTACTGTCTTCCGATGAAGGTGATTTACCATTTACGGTGGCCTTTCCATTGGTGAGTGGCGCTTTCACAGCAGGCTTCTTTTTTGCCGGTTCATCATCACTGTCATCACTTGAGTCGGAACTTGAACTCTCTTTCTTTGACACTTTTTGAACAACTATTTTGGAAACATTTTCGATGTTATTCATTTGAATTTCAAAGAATCTATTAAATAATTTATGAAATGGACTATATTTGTTACCTTTTTGTGCTGGTGTAGTCGGTGCCTTTTTCTTTGAAGCCTCTTCTTCTGAGCTACTATCTTCAGATGATGATGATTTGGTGGCCACTTTATTTGGCGTGGTCACTTTCTTTGCGGCGACCGATGGCTTTTTTACTGTTTTGTCGTCTGAGTCACTGTCACTCTCTGATTCAGAACTCGATTCTTTTTTGACAAGTGGTTTTGCGACTGTTTTAGCCGGTGTTGCTTTTGCCGGAGTCGGCTTATCATCTTCACTGTCGGAATCATCGCTTGAACTTGAGCTCTTTTTGTTGGCTTTAACCGCAGGCTATTCAATTTCAAAATAGAATATATACATTTCCATTTTACTGAGGTAGTTACGATATAAGAAATTTTTAAACAAACATACCTTGGTTACAACAGCAGGCTTGGTCACTGGTTTTACTGTTTTCTTTTCATCTTCCGATGAATCGGAGTCACTGCTATCAGATGATTCTTGTTTCTTTTTTGGTGTTGGTTTGGCTGGTGTTGGTTTGGCTGGTGTTGCTTTTGCAGCGACTGTTGTCTTCTTTTTAGCTTCTTCATCGTCCGAATCATCGCTGTCACTGTCTTCATCAGAACTATCTTTCTTTGTTTTAACTATTGCCTGAAGAGCATTGATTTTTCGATGAATATATATTTTTGGCACAAAAAATGACGGTATAATTTCGTTTAAAGTACACCTCACAAGATTTTTATCGGATGGGTACATACGAAAAGAAAATAATGTGATAAAATAATTACCTTTGCTGGCTGAGCTGTAGTTTTTGCAGCAACTGTTTTGGGTTTTTCATCTTCCGATGAATCGGTGTCGCTGTCCTCTGACGACTCCGCTTTCTTTTGTGTCACAGCTTTAGCAGGTGCCGGTTTTTTCTCTTCTTCACTGTCAGAGTCGTCACTTGAACTCTCTTTCTTAATGGTTACAGCCTTTTGGAATGAACACAACAAAGAAATCAATAAAAAAAACCATCCATGTGTCACGAATATAAAATATCAATTTAACAAACAATAGTTACCTTTGCTGCGGCAACTGGTTTGGCGACTGGCTTTACTGTTTTCTTGCCATCCTCCGATGAGTCGGAATCGCTGCTGTCATCAGATGATTCTTGTTTCTTTTGTGGTGTTACCTTGACTGGTGCTGCTTTCGCAGTGACCGCGGCCACCTTTTTGGCAGCCGGTTTTTCATCTTCCGAACTACTGTCGCTCTCCGAATCGGAACTAGTATCTTTTTTGGTTGAAGGTTTTTGTGTCGGTGTACTTTTAGCTGGTGGTGCCTTTGATTTTGGTTTTTCGTCCTCGTCTGCACTGCTATCCGAGCTGCTGCTATCCTTTTTCGCTACGGGTTTTACCGGCGTTGGTTTTGAAATGGATTTGTTTTGCACTGGTTTTTTATCTTCCTCATCTGAACTGCTCTCTTCTGAACTGCTACTGTCTTTTTTAGTAGCTGCTTTTGCCGGAATTACTTTGGCCGCTGTTTTATTAGCGGCTGGTTTTTGAGCTGGTTTTTCATCTTCAGAACTACTGTCATCTGAATCCGATGATGGTGCTTTGAGTTTTGGAATTTTATTGGAACTTTTTGCATAAAATGCAAGCACATCTTCCAGTTTGGGCGAGTCTTTCGGTAAAACCGGCTAAAATAAATGATTTAAACAAATAAATATCACGAAATACGCATTAGAGTGTCGAGAATCTATTTAACACACGAAACCACGTGCGTTACTGTGTACACTTACCGAGTTACATTTTGATTTAAATACACCAGCCAAATTACGATCTTTTCTCAATAAAAATTCATGCACGATTGCAAGCAAAAATTCAGAATTTGATTCAGTTGGTGCCATTTTCAATTCAACAAAAAAAAACAAAGAATTTTAGATGTCTGATTGCCTGTCTATGTCACTTTAGTGCGCACACAAATTTGATAAATAAACGATTTGAAAAAAAAACGTGAGCACGCTTTTATGAATCGGCATGAAGTTGGTTGCATGAAACATTGATAACTCCGAATTAAGTACATTTTGACACATGCCGATGCCATGTTAAGTACAAATCATATATAATTGTATTATATTTATAATTACAATTAATATACAATGATATTTTGATTAAATTTGAAATTGTTTATAGCAGATGATATGAAGAGATGATTGAATGGTGTGACATTTGTGAATGAGAACAACAAAAAAGGTAGCTGCTTTGACGTTATCAATAATCAAATTTACTCAATCTATAACTATCAAGTCATTTCTTTATCAATCAAAAGCTTGAGATAGCTGAACGGGCAGAATCACGAGGTGCATTTTCATAGGTAAAAACCAAAAAAAAAAAAAATTCTAACGACCAATCTAATGTTTTTTTTTCTTCATAGAACAATGGCAATGGATGAACAATCAAAACTGCAATTAATTAAAGAGCACATCGGTGAATTTGTTGACTTTCCGAAAGAAGGCATCGTATTCAGGTATATCTGCTTTTTCACTTTTATCCGTTTTTATATGAAGTAAATAAAATTTGATAATTTGTAATGAAATGAATTTTTCCATATTCATATAAAGGGATATATTTACATCACTTTTGGATGGACGTGTGTGTACGGCAATACGAGACCTCTTGATTGAACGTGTTAAAAAGGCGAATGCAAAAATCGATGCAATTGTGGGTTTAGATGCTCGCGGTTTTCTTTTTGGTTTTACCATATCGGCTGAATTGGGCATTCCATTTGTGCCAATACGAAAGAAAGGAAAATTGCCGGGCAAGTGCCGTTCATATGAATATACATTAGAATATGGTTCGGGTACGTTGGAAATTCAAGAAAATAGCGTTCAACCGGGCCAAAATGTAATTATTATTGACGATCTACTGGCTACTGGTGGAACATTGAATGCTGCCAATCAACTTGTTACCAATTTGGGTGCAAATGTCATTGAAATTATTGTAATTATGGAATTGAAATCATTGAACGGACGAGCTAACATTCCATCGAAAAATATTCACGCTTTAATCGAATACGATTAATCGTTGCAGGGAAAAAAACAACAAAAACCAACAAAACCGCACATACACACACAAAATAAACCAATTTAAACAATTAATAATTAACAAATGTAAAAAATAGCAAATATCTAACGAATGGAAATTTGTTATTTGGTACCTGATCTTTACACAAAATAATTGTTATAGATTTTTGTTTTTTTGAAAACATTTATTCCGTAGTTTACAATTTAAACAAATTTTTTATACAGAAAAGCAAAAATAATAGCCAATTTCAATAAGAACATATGTATATCTTGTCATCTTTGTTGTTTTCTTTTTATGTTATGAATAAATAAAAGAAGAATGGATAAAAATGAAAGTCGATTGATTAAAGAGTTTGAACTTGTTTGCTACTTATTATTATTTTTATAAATTAAATTATACAAAAGTAAATCAACCCGAACAAAAATTCCCAGATTAAAAGTGCAACGAAATGGACCTATACACTGACAAAAAATCCATCAAACAAACAACACACACACAAAAAAAAATTCTGGGTACATTTCAAAGATGAAAATGGATGCAAATAGAGAAAGAATATAGTAGTTCGGACCGAATAAAAAATGCAAATTGAATAAGCGATATCGTTTTTCTGATGAACTTTAAATTTGAATATTAAAATATTAGCGATCATAAAATGCTGCAGTTTTGATGGACAATGAAAAGAAAAAGAAAAAAACAAACACATACACACACACCGAGATAAAAAAAAGACCATTGCATAGGTCATAGAAACAACCCCAAAGATTTTACCTAGTAGCAACCGTTTCTTTTGTTCTTCGGTAGAGAAGGTCAGAGATGCCAAGAATTGTTTTACCTGTATGCTCACTATGGTAAAGAAATCACTGATGCCGATGGCATTCACCACATTTGCATGTGTTCACATGTTCGCTTCACACACATATTACTTCTTGTACAAGGACCGACAAAAGAAATGACACAAGCATATGGGCACGGGAATTCCCCCGCATGTAATAGGTCTTAGCGATCATATGGTGCCGGAGAGGCTAACAAACAAGAAGAAAAACAATATCATCAAGAAAACCGATACACAGTACTAATATGCGTGGGAATTTTTCATCAAATTATATTTTCTATTCGCAAAATAAGATTTTCAAATCGCTTCTGCTGATTTTTGTTTTGCAAAACGTAGTGGGGGTGATGACCAAAACATCGTCTTGTCTCTCTGTTTATATTTGGAAGATGATCGGCTCGGATACATCATTCAACACTGAGATTTCACAGAGTAAACATCTCTCAAGATTTCAACAACAAATCAGTTAACTTTAAAGTTTGTGATACATCAAGATTTATTGTGATTTACGTGCCAATAGTTATAAAAAAAAATTGTGGTGACGAAATAAAAAACAAACGAAAATATTTTCGATTTTCATTATAAATCTGTGAGAAACAAATAAATAAAAATGTTCATCAAAACGACGATTTTTCTGTGCCTCGTTGCATTATTCATTGGATTTGAAGCGAGACCAATCAAATCTCCAAATGGTAATTATTTTTAATTTATTTTTTTAACTAAATTCAAATTATTGTGGACCAATTAAAATCGAACACATTTGCAATCATCAGAAGATTTTGCTGTGATTTATTTCCAATGATTTTAGTTGACAAAAGTTTATTTTTCAATATCCATCTAAAAAAAAATTATTTGTTTTAATTTACAGTTTTCAAATTGGAGGTTTCACATAGTGATATCGATGAAGGTGTTGCCATTGAATTGACTAGCAAACATAACAACCGAAAAACTATGGAATTTGTAAATCATCGTCCAGAATTGATGAATCAGCTAAATCGAAAGCCAACTCGATTCAATAAAAAACAACAACGTAACAAACGTCGCATTCAACGAAAAAAATTAGCACAAACTCAAGCAAAAATGTTGAGAGCATTGACATCACAAAAGGACGAAACAAATAATGATTTGGATATGACAATTCAAAACAGCAACGAAAAAATTGTAATGCGAAACAAGAGAAGTGTGCCATTGAAGGATGTAGCTGGAAGAAAGGAATTACAAATTGAAGATTTGAGACGATTCAGCGAAGACACCGAAGCCATTGATGAAGGTGATGAGTACAGCGATGATGATGAAGAAGAAAAAGGAGATAATGTTAAAGTAACAGAGAAAAAAGATGAAAAAGTAAAATCAACAAAAAAGGACACCAAAGTCGACAGCAAAACTACACAAAAAGCAAACTCACGCCGCGCAACACAAAATAAGAAACCCGACGGTTATCGTAATTATGCATTCGACACAGCTGATTTGGATCAATTAAGTGAAGATGATGACTTACTCCAAAGATACTACGGCCGTCATCCAGCCGTTCGACGTGCTGCCTACGATAACTATGGATCGTTTACAGATATTATGCAAATGTCACAATCCGAAACTGAACACGACAATCGATTCACGAAACGATTGCACTATGGCACCAACGACAACTTTTTAAACGATGAAGCCAAAAACGAATCCAATGAAGACACCAACGATATATACGATGAATATGATAGTTATGATGACGATTATTGATTTTAGGAATAAAAAACCGAAATGATTAACTATTTGTTTGTCGGACCGCTCAAAACAATGAGCATATCTGGTAGCTACAAGCCAACATTCAGTTTTCAACGTGGAAAGTAAAATATTAGAAAAGTGCAACAAATATCTCCAAATTGCGATAGACAGCAGTTACGATATGTGTAAATAGGTTTGTGTTCGTTTTGATATAGAGAACGCATTTTAGTTTTTTAAGTTAATCTAAAAGCATTTACCAAAATAAATTAAGGTTCTCATTTGATTTACTCCATTCTGCATGCATTATTTATATCAATTTCAATTGAAAACTATTGATTTTTTATGATTAAATAAAAAAGAAACTTTTTAAAAATCAAACACATCAAAAATGTATCAATTAATTATTAAAATAATTCTGAGACACATCTGTTTTACACTAAAAATGTAAAAAAAATCTTCAATTTATTTAAATAAATTAAATGCTTAAGAAATACTCTCACACTTTTTCTTCGAACATTTTCCAAATTCTCAATAGATGACAAATAATAGCCTCTCTGACTGTTTAATATACTTGTTTTGTGCCAGCAACGGGAACAAAATTGTTTGAATTCATCCCAATCGTGTCGATCGTTGATTGTATTTGGGCGTTCCGTTGATGGTGTAGGTTCCTGAATGGGTTCGGCCGTTGTAATATAAATATAATTGGCATTTTGTTTTGGCGTAACACCATAGTAGAAATTTAAAATTGGCTGGAATCCAGTATCAACAATGGATACGGTTAGATTTTCGCTTGTCAACGATGATGGTATCGATGATGTTGTCGATTCGATTGTTTCAGTTGTTGTATCAATATCAGGCTCACTTGTTGCTACCGACGTGGCTATTGTCGTTTTGTAATGTCGGTGATTTCCACAACTGTAGCAACAACCTCACTGTCAGTTTTCGTTTTGTGCACAATATCGCGAATTGCGGTTTGTTTTACAATCAGAAATTTTTTTTTTAACCTAAAACGTAGTACGCCGATTTCGTAAGTTTTCGTTTTTTTAAAGTAATTTTTCATTTGCTTCTATTAGTTGAAAAAAAAAAGACACAAAATTGACGCTGTATAATATGTTAAAACATAATTTAATTCATTTCAAACGGAAAATAACATGAAAAATGGGCCTCCGTGAAAATTCAAAAAATATTCAACATTTCCGCTAATCAAATTACATTTTCGGCCTGTATTTTGACCGACCCAAGTTTTTAAATGTGAATTTTTGAAAACAAAACCAAATATCATTATCAATTCTTATTACAATTGTATGATAATGTTCTAATTTCAGCATCTATAGCACTGTGCTTTACATACATATTTTGGGTTCTTTTCTTTGTGTTTCCTTTTTACTGTTGGTTCAGGTAGAAAAAACCAGGCTGTGTATTCGAACTGATTTCAGTAGGCACCGATATTTCTAGCGTGATAGCTATGCTGTGTCTATATCCAAGATATGAAAGCAATGCAAACACAATACATCAGTGCCTGCTGAAATCAGTTTGAACACTCAGCCTGAAAAAACGACTGTTATCCATAATAATGGTATTTTATAAGAAAATATATGTATTTTGCTGAAATTGGGACGATGCAGTATGACAAAGTGCAACAAAGCATTTGATCTCGATATAGCTCTCGATATGCGTGTCCCGAATAATGTATATATGATGGGAATTTCCCCTGTTTTTTCGAAATTGAGATTATTTTGCATACCAATTTAATAGATGCTCGCATTTTGACTTTCTTTTAGAACAAACGAACGATGCTGATCTTTTTGTAACAAAAGTCATCTTATCGCAATGAATAGTTTGATTTTTGGTCCATAATTAAAACAAAGCACTTTGACTTTGTGTTTTTTTTTTTTTTCGAGGTACAAAAATATGCAAATGCGTCGTTTCATCTGATTTTTGTGAGAGAGTTTAGAATATTTGTCATGCGTTCAAAACAGGTAAGGAATGGAAATGCTAATTGTACACACGATAGAACGACTAAGAAAAAGATCCTGAAAGGCGAGCCGATATACAAAACCTGAAACGAAGTTGAGAGCAAAAGGGACCAATAAAGTTTGTTGATACAGACGAAATGTGATCAAAGTAGCCTACAGACACTATATAGTATATACAATATGCGCAAAAGGAAAATATGCCTGCGCCTATCTATATTCTTCCCAGTTTATGCTAAATGATCCCATGTAAATATTTGCAAAACTTAAATATGAAATAGCTTAATAAGGAAGTGTCGGTCATAATGTCGGAAGTTGATATGACTGATCTATTTAAAAACCAATGTTCTTTTCGACATGTGCCAGTTTCAAAATACACCTGAACTCGAACAGAAGTGATCGATTCGATGCTCCTGAAAAAAAAAATCCAAAATGTCAAATCATACCAAGTACTTTTCGACCACCGTTCGATATTCATTATTTTTGTTTATATTAAGTTCAGTGATTTGTGTTTTTGGTAAGATTGTCCACATAATTTGTGTAAAAATAAAATAGAAAGAAAAGAGTTCTATTCATTCTAATAATAATTTTTCGCGTTATTTAATTTCATAAATTAGCTCGAAACACTCAGGGCACCGAAACGAACGAAAAATATCAGAAAAAAGAATTGGATTTGTGGGATTTGGCTGTGCAACGACGAAAATTACAACTTCAAGGTGTAGCTCCAATAGTCGTGCTTGAAAATGGAAAACTCGTTCGAAAGTATGTTAATCGAAATTCTCCGAAATATGAACCGATTAATACAACTTCACATTTAGGAGATCGTACAGTGAAACCCATAGTGAGGCACGAAAATATATCAAGAAAAAAAGAAATATCAAACCGACGCCGTGGAAAAAGCATGCGATTCAATGAGTCAGATGATGAGAAACAGTTCCCAATGATCGACAATAGAATGCTAAATGATAATATTGATACTGCGCAAAGACCAAACCGAAAATCTCTCATTTCAGTTGAGAATTTGACGCATAAAATCGATAGAGTAATGGTTGACACCTCAACAGCGATGAAACCATTGACATATTTTGGTATAACGACGTTGCGTAGTACAACTGAACATTTGGAAAGCATTCAAACCGTCTCAGAAGTATTGAAATCAAGTCAAGAAACAACAGCCCAAACCATCAAATTTACCACTACAACCCCACAAACAACTACATCACCTTTAGAGGAAATAAACAACATCGACCAATTACCAAAGATCGACACTGAGTCTACGACTGAAAGTGTTGACAAATTGAATTATACAAACATGGCGTTTGAGTATGAAATGACAGAAAAACTTCCAATTGCAACGACTGAATGTGAAACAATAAACATACCACCAACGTCAATGCCAGACATAGAGACGACTGAAGTAGACAAAATGTCGTCAGTCACTATGAAAAATATTGAGCAAGACTTTACAGGTACGCTAAGAACGGAACCAACCACTGAAAACTTAATCAATATACCTAAAGATCTCGAGAACCTATTTCGGTCTGAGATTATATCAACAGTTATTCCAATTGAACCAATTACAACCGAATTACCAGCAATAGATGAGATAATTGAGTCAATGACAGCTCAAATTGGTTTATCGGAAGAGAAAAACGACATCAATCCAATGGACTATCTTACTGATGCTACTGTCGTATTGATTCCTTTCACAAATGTGCCAACCACGGCGGCACCATCAAGCACAATAGGTGAAATGATCGAGCCATTGAGAGAAACAACTGTTCCAATTACACCGGTGAAACCGAGTAACGATATCAATTCAATGGATTATATAACTGCTTCGGTTCCTTTTACAAATGTCCCAACCGCGACCGCATCATATAGTACAATAGAGGAAATTATCTCTACAATGCACGATATCGATTCAATAGATTTTGTTGATGCTGCTGCGGTTTCGGCTTCTGTTAGAAATGTAGTGCCATCCACATTTTTGACCATATTCATTGAAATATTATATTTTTTGCCGATGCAAATATTGTTGAGCATGAAGATAAGTATAAAATGGATAAATTGGCATTAGTTCGCCGTTAAACATTGAGTAGTTGTCATGTGCGATGGGAAAAAAGCAATTTTTCACAATCGTAAATGAAACACAATACTAGAAGAGGCAATGTGCATTGAACCAATCTGAATGGAATTTCCATGCTAATGACATGTATGAGTCATACTTCATAGTTCACAAAGTCATACCCTATGGACACACATACATGCACGCAGCAGCATCTGTGCGCATGCTAATCTGGGATTTTTTTTATTTTACTGCATCGTTTTCGAAGAAAGCATAAAACCGAAAAAATGCAAATTCCATTTCAAACAATGCCAAAATAGTTGCATTCCAGTGTGCAAATCTTTTATTGCATGCTGAAAAAAAATTTGTAAAATTAAACTCGGTAAAAGTTTGTTGTTAAGTGAAGGAAAAAAAAGTAAATATCATAAGACAATGATTAGTCAATTGATGAGTTTCAATGCTCAATAATTTGTACAGTTGCAATAAAATGTTTTATGTTAACCAAAAGACTGAACAAAGACGAAGAGAAAAATAGAATGGGTTTAACGTTGATCGTTTTGGGGCTTTAAAACTTTTATTGCTGCAAACAATCAAAAGGGAAAAAATGAATGAAAACAAACAAAAAAGAAGTAATAACAATAATAAAATAAAAGAAATTTGAAGTACGAAAATCATTGAATGATTTAGTTTCATTTATGAATTAAATCGGTCCAAATGGCATCGGTACGATATTGAGACGTGATGAATTTGTTATAGAGTTTGTTCACTTTGTTCGTTTTGAATTTTATGTGACGCGATAATTCATCCAGTGCATTGTATTCATCACGCAATTGATGCCGAAGTTCGAGCTCCAGTGAAGATTGACGATTTGGGCAATGTAATGGTTCGATTACGATTTTTCGACCAAATTCATTGTGAAATGTTGCAATTAAGTTTTGTATCTTAGTCAAATCCCTAGAAAATAATAAGCAATCACTTTTGAATAAACATTTTTGGAAAACAGAAATTAAATGGATTTACCTATTGTATAATTTAATTTCATAGGTATTGCTTGAATCGACACTTTTTACTGCATTTGTAAAGTTCCGAATGCGAATTAGCATACCATACCAATATCCATCTTGTGGACAATAAAGTATTTGATGGTCTTCTTCAAAATGGCCGGATGACAATGCTGATGACAAATTTTGTGATAACGTAAATTGATGATAATTCTATAAGTGGGATTTTTTTAAAATTGTTTTTTAAATAAATCAAATCGAAAAATTAAGGACGGCAACGATATGAATAGATAAGTATACTAACATCATCAATGCTGACAGCGGTTGAAATATTATCGAACGAAAGGCGTCTCAATAGGAATTCAGTTAATTGCATCATCAGTGTGTCATCATTAAAATTAATGCGAAACATCTGTCGTTCGCTTGTCGCAATCACAGCCAACAGATCTCGAAACACTGTAAAAACAGATAGAAAAATTAGTTGATTAAATCTATTTCCATAGACGAATTTATTTGGCAAAGCATTCTCACTTACAATTTGTCGTATCAAAATTGACAAAATATCGTTTATCATGAAAAATATCTGCATCGATGTTAACAGTGGTAATGTGTGTTTGAAACTCCTTCCATAAGCCACTTTCCAAAAATACGTTATATATCAAAAATATGTCATAGTCATAGCCTTTTGAAGCTATCGTAAATTCATTCAAGTCCATTGTGATAATAATGACGGCTGCCTTGTCCGGATAAAGTACATGCTGCTGTAAATAATAACAAAATACTCTGTTCAATATACTGATTATTATTTTATTACAACGAAATAGAATACAACGTTTGTGGTTTACCTTTTGATGAATCCATTCATGGTTGAAAATCAAATCTGTCGGTTTGTCATCGGATGGTTCAGAATCATAATCATTTGGTTCGTTGAATTGTTCGCAAATCTCTTGCAATTTTAACGGTTCAATGGACGCATTCTCTGTTTGAAATGTATACAGTTTGTGTGTGTAGACGAATTGCGGCTGATTTGATACAAACACCGACCCTCGAATTCGTTCAACCAGATTTTTACTATGCCATACGAATGAAAATCGATAAACAAAAATGACATACAATTAATTTAATGTTCAAACAAAATAAAAGAAAAAAATTGAACGAAATAAATAATTTGAGACAAATGTAAATAGTTGCCTGTTTCAGAGTATATCCAAATTAAATTTCTGTGTGATTGGCAACAATTCAATGCGATAAAATGAGACAGACACAGTGCACTCTATGAAGTAAACATCGTGTTGACAACACGAGTTTGCGCAATAAATACGCGAGCAACATGAAAAACGCATCAAAAGCATTACATACGCCATCCGCACTTTTCATTGCAGTTGCCACAGAATCAGTCACTTGTGATAGAATATTTGGAACGGTCTGATTAAGATATTTTGATTTTAATTTTATTTTACCATATTTCTGTCGTTCGTTTTCTATTACATGATGTAATTGTTTCGACACAGGCTTTAAGAAATTAAATTTTCATTCTGTTTTTCTTTTCATCGATACCAATTCCATACACATTTTGAAATGTAAAAACCGACTTTTCGATGCAACCATAGCGCTTTCAGTATGTTATTGTTGTTTGTTCGATTCTGTGTGCTAGTTTCAACGTGCTAGTCTTTTCATTGAATATTTTTCGAAAAAAATAATAATAATCAAGTTTCAGTTTTTCATCTCCTGTAGTTGATATTAAAGCGATAATTTTGATTGAATATGTGTGGTGTTTGCAATTTTGATTGAACTCTCAATTGGAAGAAAAAAATATCGGCACGTGCAATATGCATATATATCTGTAGTGCTTCCAGTGGCTTCCACCTTTTTTTTCCATTTGAATCGCTCGTATATGGTTCTTAATTGAATTTTCCGCATTGCATTAATAAACATAACTATAACTGTGAACGAGGAAGGAACACGGGAAAGTATCGTTTTAGTGTGAGCACATGCAATAGTGATTGAATGGAAATGAGTACATTGGTCTGCCGCTACCAGATCGTTGCAATTTGTGGAAAATCATCCGCATCACTTTGATGTGTATACATCTGCTGGAATTACAGTGCAACATTAACTGCTGACGCAAATAATTTAAACGTACAAGAGAATCAATAGTAATATTTTTGGATTCATTAGTCGCATGCTATTAAAAAGAGCATGACACTTGATTAGGCACGCCGGACAGAAATAGATAAAACATACGGAGACAGCATTATACAACGACCAAAGCAAAGTAAATCCGTGCAGCTTGTGAATAAGAGGGAAAAAATAAACAGAGCTGTTTTACAAACAACAAATAGACTAGATAAAGTGTGTTCCACCAAATAGAAAGTATCAACGAAAGGAAGAAAAGAAAAGAGAAGAAGTAACATACAAAAATAGAATTGCAGGCAACTTTGGATGATTGATGTGGTGTATCTAAAAATATGCACAATTGTTATCAGAACATTGAATCACATGCACATTGCTTGTTAAAATGCATAATCATTTTGCAAAAGTGGATCCTGTTCTCGGTGCGATACCATTAATTACGAGCCGGAAGAAGTCTTCCTGTGCCCCCATAGAATAAGTGCTGATGCCGATGCCGATGCGCGGCGACTGCCAACTTTGAACACACACACACACTTTCTATACAAAACGAACCGAAGGAATTGTGTTGAACGAATGAACAAACGAGCCGAATTGGCAAGCGAACGAGAAAGTCCCATTATCACAAGATATGTGTGTGCAAACAATATACAGAATGTGTACGCTCATCAATTTTTTTCGCTCTAGTATTTACATTGCCGCTTCAAATACAACACACAACTTGAACTCGGTACTCATGCACTCTTGTGTGCGATTTCGTTCTTGATTTCTTTTCTGAATAAATTTGCATAATTTATTTCAACTACTCGGTTTTTTTTTCTCTTTCTCTCTCTCTCTCTTTCTATATTTCTCACCATATATCGTGTATTGTTCCTTTATCGTTGTGCTCCTTTAATTTGCTGCCGCTGTTGATGTTCGTTCTGTTGGCGCATTGTGTGTCTGTGTTTGTGCCCGTGTTCTCCGCTCGTAATGTACAAGTGAAAATGTTCAACGGTTTTTCATCGGCAGCGACAGAGAGCAGAAAATTAACAACGTTACAACAAGAACATGTACAATATAAATGTACGATTTTTCCTACAAAGCGCGAAAACTTTGAAAATATTTGACAATCATTCACTATTTTTAGAGTGCAATAAAACATTTGAACGGTGAATACGAAAAATATTGGATACTGTTGCTGCTACACAAACAACCATTCAACAAACGGTTTAAATTGAAACCGTCACTTTGCTATCTTGATTTAAGCGATATGGTGGAAAAAATTACCCTCCAAAAGAGAAAAGTAAAACAATTAACATGAACAAAAAAATCGGTATTGTGCAACGAAAACAACAAAAAGTGACATTCATTTTTTGAGCTTATACAAAAGATAAAAAATATATATTATAATAACTGAATCGCATGTACATTACAACAATTACATTGAAAATCGAATTGAGGAACGAGCATTATTGTCGCTGCATTGTGTGTTGTTTTTATCTCTCACGTGAGAACATATAAGTGGTGGAATTGAAATTTCTTTTTTTTTTGTTCATGAGAGCTCATCGTACACAGTGTCGCTGTTTAAAGCGATTCAGTTTGTGTATAATTGCAATTGGGCTTTTACCCATTTTAATCGTTTATTTTTTGGTTAGCGATCAACTTTATTACCGAATCAAACGGACCGACGTAAGTATCTTTTGTGTTTTGGCTCCCTGAAATCAATATATATAGCTTTAATTTTAGCTCAATTTAATTTGATTTTTTTGTGTGTTGAAAATCAATGGCAAAACCATATGCAAACCATATTAAGCTCAAGCTTGCATTCGTTGCTTTCATTTAAATTCCATAAAATGTGGAAAAAGTGCATACGATGCATTTGTCCTTTTGATTATTGTTGAACACATATGCAGGCACACACGCATACATAGAGACACGTCAGTTCTTAACAACTGTTATGCAATTGTTACTGCATTATAATTCGCACTCTGGATTATAATCCGCATAAGCCGATGAGAATGGCAGGTGCAAATGGAGTATTCACTGAATTTTCTCCACTTGAAAAGTTTTGTGTTTCCTTGGCATTTTCTGCCATATATCGTTGGTCGTAAATTAATCAATATTACTTCTGCTTCACAATCGTCAATTTATCGTTTTTATATTTGCCATTTGCGTCTGAAGCGTCAAATCCACTACACTATTAGCAAGGTGTGTTGTTAAATACAGGCGGATAAAATTACTATACACACAAATCATAAACCTCATTTGGTGGAAGCGATAATTTGCCTTTGAATGCCATTTCTACAAGCGCTGTATACTATACACAATGTTAATGGCATTCGATGGCAATAAATTCTATTTTTATCAATCCGTTTTGATAATTATTATGGGTAAAACATAAGCGAGTTGACAAAAAAACAAATCAGCACATGGGTGCTAAAATGAATGTGCCGCTTAGACTATATCGAATGTTAAATAATAAAATGAAACACGTGGAATGCTTAAACAAAGTACCTGCACACACACACCACACAGACAATTAAAAAGTGGAACAAAAACTGTGTAATCCATATTCTATGGTTTTGTGTGAGACCCGCACAAGCCAAATAACAATTATAAAGTTGTAGTCCATGATAAAACCCGCTATGTAAAATGCATAAATTTTAATGTATAAATCGCATTCAAAGTGGATTCATTTCCAGCAGAAATGTTCAGGCTTCAATATATGTTGTGTGTTGAATTGTTTTTTTTTTTTAATTATTTTAAATAGAACAAAACGAAGTAAATTATCATTTTACCACTTTCAAGTCCAGATCCGTTGATATGTTAATATCATTGCAATCAATTGATTGAGGTGGTCATTTATCAGTTGCACGACAAAGAAGACACATCACAAAAACGAATAACTTAACCGTTTGTTATAAGTGAAATCAAATTAAATGGACATTGCTGTACACGTCGTAAAATGTTTTATTGCCACGCAAATGCTCTATCAGGTGTCAGGCAAATGCTCCTAGTTTTGCTCATGTGATATTTATCAATACTAATTGAATTGGGTTAGGATGTAATTGGTTTGCTGGCACGAAATACTATCTTCGAAGTAAAACTGAAAAGGTGTTTCACATTCATTCGATTAAATGCAAAAAGATAAAATGTTCGATAGCGCCATTATGTTCAGGGATGTGTTCCTCTATGGAGGAGAAACGGTGAGGAGGAAAATGAAGTGGAGGAAAGTGCCGAGGAGGATCCATCTTCAATGGTTGAGGAGTAAATTTTTTAAAACTATTTATATCACAAAAATATCTTTATTGGTTAAAAACATGTTCCTCCTCACTTTTGGATGATCCTCCTCATCGTTTCTCCCCTCAAAGGAACAATCCCTGATTCTATTGCATAGCATTTTCGAAACACAGAAATGCTTTCAAATGATCATCAATCGAAATGTGTCACACAAGCCTAATTATTTTCGTGTTGGAAAAACACTTTGAATTATTTATTCGGCCACTTTCGCCATTGTTATGTTATAGACCACGTAAATGCCATTAAATTGATTCAAAATTATAAATCACTAAATTTCAAAATGGGCTAAACTACACTTTACGACATCCTCTTTAAATCGATTTTTTTTATAAATGGTATTTTGTCAAATTATGAAAATGATGGGGAACGATATATTGGGAGTGGGGAAATAATTTAGTGAAAAGGGGGGTTGCCCCCCTTGGGTATTAGTGGGGGGGAGTACCCAACTTGTCCAAAACCTCATTGGATCAAAAAGTGATGTATGGCAAAGTTGTTCAGAATGACAAGAGAAATTTTTTAGGGTAGCTGCCCTCCCCTTCCCCCCATCCCCTAGGGGGCCTAGGGGGTCCGATACTGTAAAGTCGATTTTCTTTCTTTTTGAGTCGGAATTTGAGTGGGTGGCGCGTTATGCATTTATTGATGAAAATGTGTGTATTGAATACATTCGTCAGCGCGCGCGAATGGGCTAAACTATAAATATGGCAAAGTTGTTCAGAATGACAAGAGAAATTTTTTAGGGTAGCTGCCCTCCCCTTCCCCCCATCCCCTAGGGGGCCTAGGGGGTCCGATACTGTAAAGTCGATTTTCTTTCTTTTTGAGTCGGAATTTGAGTGGGTGGCGCGTTATGCATCTATTGATGAAAATGTGTGTATTGAATACATTCGTCAGCGCGCGCGCTGACGAATGTATTCAATACACACATTTTCATCAATAAATGCATAACGCGCCAGCGCTAACGCGCTGGCATGTTCAAAATTAACCCCCCTTTGATTTTTCAACTGTACCCATGCATGATAGCACCTAAGAGAGGTTTAATCTGAATTTTTAAGTTTCTGATCGAAAAAATTAAAAATTAAGGGGTAAAGATCCCAGACCTCGTAGGGGATGAGGGGAGGGGGAGGGCAGCTACCCTAAAAAATTTCTCTCGTCATTCTGAACAACTTTGCCATACATCACTTTTTGATCCAATGAGGTTTTGGACAAGTTGGGTACTCCCCCCACTAATACCCAAGGGGGGCAACCCCCCTTTTCACCAAATTATTTTTTCTTCATTTACTATTGATCTATATAGTTAATTTTGAAATCTGGACGTGATACCACTTGATAATATCCATTTTGTCCCCAAAAATTGACCTTTTACAGGGGCTGATTTTTTTCATATCCCGAACAGGTCCAATATTTTTGATCCTTAAATCAGCTTTCCCCAACCCCAATTCATCGTTCCCCATCATTTTCAAAACTTAAAAAAATGAAATTTCTCAAAAAAATCGATTTAAAGAGGATGTCGTAAAGTGTAGTTGTGCCTCAAAATGAATTATTACTCAACTAAAAACGTGCATTGAAGTGTTTTTTTTTAAACGAACTGATTAATCATGATTGCATACATTTTTATTTCGATTAAATTTACACTTTTCAGAATGAGAATGGCACTCAATTTGTTGGCGACGACTCAATGTCGCGGTCACTATCACAAAAGGAAATGGAAATGATTGAAGAGCGTATGCGTCAACGTACGGTTCGTCTGGCACAAAAATGCACCGAATTCGGTTTGGATATTCGAAGAAATGACTCATTACATCGACCAAATTCGTGGGAATTTTTGGTGAACAAACGCTACCATTTGGTTTGGTGCAATGTGTTTAAGGCGGCATCCACATCATGGATGTACAATTTCAATATATTAGCTGGATATTCGCCAGAATTTTTGCGAAAAAGCAATATTGTGCCATTGGAATTGGCTCGCAAACGTTATGAACGGGTTACAGTGACGCAGGTAAATACAATTCCAAATTACTTCGTCAACAAGAGAGAAGATAAGAGTCCAATTCAAATTGTACTTTTTTTCCACATCTATTTTTGCAGCTGGAGAAGGCATTAAATGTTTCGGTGTCATTTTTAATTGTGCGTCATCCATTTGAGAGGCTTTTAAGTGCCTATCGTGATAAAATCATGTTTGCCATACCACACTCGCTGCACGATAAATTGGGCAATAAAATTATTCGAAAATATCGAAAAAACGTAAGTACATCATGGGATTTCTGTTTTTAATAAAATATTCATTAATGCATTTTGATTGGAATTTTGTGAATAGCGACGACTTCGAGAGCCAAAGTGGCCATTGTTTTCCGAATTTGTGAGCTATTTGCTCGATGAAATGTCGAAGCGATCACCAAAGACCGATATGCATTGGGTACCGATCACTGAATTTTGTACACCATGCCAAATTAAATTCGATGTCATTGCAAAATTTGAAACGCTCGACGAAGATCAGCGATTTCTCATTGAACGTGCCGATCTTCGACGTCACATTTCACCACAATGGAAAAATTCAGGCAAAGGAAAAAACACACAAGAATTAACTACAAAATTTTTTTCCCAGTTGAGGTAATTTCCATTTTCGAATCAATCTCGAAAAACGAAAAAAAAAAAACAAACAAACTGTAATTAAATTTGTTATTATCTTCGACAGCATGAACCAATTGGATAGACTTTGTGATATTTACAAGTGAGTAGTTTTACAATGTGTTTCGATATCATTGCATATAAAAACAAATAAAATAAAAGTAAATTTAATTCATCGTTTCAGATACGATTTGCAATTATTTGATTATGCTCCAGAACCATTTTATAATATTGTTAGAAATGCATCGAAAAAAGTTGTGTGAGCAATAAAAACAAGCACAAACAATTTAAATTTTATTTCAAGTTAAAAAAGACAAAATATAAATGATTTAAAATAAATTAGTTTAGCTGTAATTGGATTTTCGCTCACAAAAATTTGGAGGAAAAATTCAGAGAACCATTCATTAAGCAAATAGAGCTCACACATTTATTAAGCATAAACAATGAATATGAAAAACAAATGCTATCTTAATTAAAAAAAACTAAATTTTACAAATTGGACATTTATCAGATAGTTTTTAATTTAATTTTGTAGCATTTGAACCAAATGATACGAGTCATCCAAATCACCATCAAATCAACGTTTAAAAATGACATATACACAAATAAGCAAATAGCAAAGAATTTAGAGAGTATATCAATTATTTAGAAAAGAGAGAAACAACAACTAGTAATAGCAAGTTATCAATTTTGTTCTTGTCTTACCATTTATAAACATAATCAATTAAATGTTCATGTTATCTTGAATGACATTTCAGTTTTCTTTTCTAGAAAAATAAAACGATCGAGTTTAGTGCTGTTGATACAAAGCACTATTGAAATAAATGGACAATACAAATAACGAGACAAAGAACAAAACATTTACAAATTGTGAAAACAAAAAAAAAAACACTTAAAATTGCAATTGATAATTTTAAATGGTAGATAAAGCACACAATGAGAGAAATTTTATATTTTTTAGACAAATTCCAAATAGAGATTATGTTAAATCCCATCATTATGCATTCACGCATTAAAAATACGATTTTTTTAAAAACGAAATTTTTTTTAGTGATTAAGTGTATTTTGAACAAATTGCTAATTTGCAAAGAAGAAAGAAGCAAATCGATTATATCTGTACTTTATTGGTGAACATTTCACAAAATTTTAATGTGTATTTAATTGCAAAACAAATTTCCTTCTATTGAATTGATGCTGTTTCACACATCGTTGAATAAATTTTCAATGAAAATGTACTTGTTTTAAACCAATTTTTGCAATTATTTATTGGTATGGCGTATAAATTCCATATTCCAAATATAGACTCGAGTAGAACATGCATATATTGTAAAAATAAAGTATCTCAATACACCGACTTTTGTTGCTAATCATTATTTTACTTACTTCGTCGAGGAATTGATGACTGGTATGCCAATCAGAATCTGACCATTTACATTTCGTATCCAATAGTCACCATATCTTGATAAAATTCCAAAATTCTCGGACTGCCCCAAAATCATGCAAAAGAGAGTCGAATTTAACTTCGTTTAGATTCGAATTAAAAAATTTCTAATTATAATTACATTTTGCTCAACAGTTTGCTGATATGTATGCAATGCATCTGACTCCTTTTGAATTTGTATGTTTATGTTAGCCAAATTGGAACTTTCTTTTGCAACACGGTCTTCCAACTCTTGTGTGATTTTCTCAAAATACTGTTCACCATCGATCATTAAACGAAGATCAATACCTTTGCTCGAATAGCTCAATGAAATTAATTCAAACTCTTCGGATGGCCCATTTCGATAAATAACCTCTACACTTGGTTCGCCGGTACAATTTTTGTCGTGGATTAAATAATTGCTAATATTTGAGAATTGGCGGTGAACCTAATGAAAAAAAAAATCAAATCAAATTAAATCAATCACAAGCACTTTGTTCCATAAAAACAAAATCAGCTGTAAGGAGGAAATCAAATACATATTTACTATGAGTTGTTGATTGGCTCTTCCAAGTACAATTAGACCATGATCAATGCGCAAAAATAAAAATTGTTCTTTCTCTTTTTTCTTATACGAATAGTATGCATTGAATAAAATATTCGGCGTTTGATTTGTCATCATCGATTTTGGTAGCACAATATCTGTCGAATACATCAAAAGTCAAAACATTCAAATTAAATTGTATGGAATTATTTCTTTTAAATAAATGAAAATACCTTTGAAAATTGTATCACTTAGATGAAATGAAGACAGAATATTTTTTCCATTGACTTCGTACAAAACTGCATCTTGACCGCCGGTTATGATAAAATCACTAAAATGCTGTGCATTCGTATAAATTCGACAATGGTAAATCATATACTTTCGTAGAACTGATGGTAGAAAATCAAAAACGTCCTCATCAACGTCCATTTCTTGACATTTTTCCATATTTTTTTTTCAATTTCTATTTCTTTTCAAATTTATTATTGTGCCAGACACATTTCAAATCCGATGAGTCTGTAAACAACAAACCACAAATGTCACATTCAACACATGAGTTTTAAGTACACAGGTATAAGTAAATACTTAATGATGTATGCAAATGTATTTTTTTGTGATCAATTTCCCCATTTAAAGTCTTTAAATAAAATAAAATTTGATTTTTCCAAACAGAAAGTCTTTTTGAAGCTTTTTTTATTTACATTTTTTTTTCACACCAAAAATAATTAGAAGGAAAAACCCACAAAAACAAAAGTATCTGCATGCCCATTCACCAACAGATGGTGCCAGCATATATTTGAATGCTTCAACGATATTTTTGGTATAAAAAATTATATGAAATCATACCAAATGAAAAACCGATACAGATTTTTATGTCTGAAAACAATTTAATAAAGAGAAAAATTATCATTTTCCGGGATTGAGTTCGACGGTTGAAAACTTCCTTTTGAATTTGATTTCTCTTTGTATGCGCCGTTATCCGATGAACACCTATTTACGAAAATTGCTCATTCAGCGAAGTTTTCAATGGATAATATACAACATGTATAGATTGAATTAATATTTTCCAATAATCTGAAAAATTAGATCCCACAATCTGGTAGCCAGATGGTTTGAGCGATTCATTAGAACATTGTTAACTTTTATACGTCAACACTTCAACTGATTACTATTACTAAACACCTCCGTTCAGACGATATTCCATTGCAATCGACAATTGAATTATATTTTGTAGATAATTTAGTGAGAATTATAACTTAATATGTTGGGTATGCAAAAATAAATAATAACATTTATTATATTAAATTATAGTTGCATACATAGATTCTGAGCAGGGGTCCGAAGGGTCTGATTACCCCCCTGGAAAATGGATTTGGAAATTACTCCTTTACAATTTTGAAATTACTCCTCCCCTTGGAACGCGACCGTCATAAGCTATGATGGCAAATATAGTTTTTTTTCTCGTTCATACCAACAAGTAACGCCAACATACCCCCCAAAAAAAATTTTTACGCACATCAATTACAAACGAAATGTTGGTAGCATTTCAAATTGAAGCAAATATTTGATGTATCCATTATAATTGCATCAGTTTATGTTGAAATTTGACCGAAAACCTCAATTAAATATAAGGCCATGTACAAGTAATTAAGTGCATTAATTGCATTACTACTGGAACATTATACAATGCATCTCTTCAAGTATTTACATAAGAGATATGTTCTCGATGTGCATGTGCCATAAGATGTATGCTTTTTGGATGTGTAATGTTCAATATATTTGATGAGCCTAAAATCGGCATGTGAATTTAATGCAAAGTTCGGCATGAATGCCATTTTCAAAATGTGAATCTCTCAACTTAAAATTATCGATTAGAAATCCCTCATTGCATCTTACCTTCAAAGGCTCAAGTCCAAAATGGCATTTATTCAATATAATGATAAGAAAAAAAAACTGAAAATGATTGAAATAAAATCGCTGCATTTGATTTAAACAAACTTTTTATTTTGTAGTTTTTACTTTATTTCTTAAAAAGATACCGTAGCTATACATGCGACAAATGAAAGAGAAAAAAATTTGCATAGATCGAAAAAATTGTATGTATGTGATTGTGTGATTTTTTATGTGTCAAATCAAATGGTTCGTCATGATTGATATATATATATATATATATATTTTTGATTGATGTGATTGTTGTTTCCATGCGAAACACTTGAGTTGACCGCAATTTTTAAGAGTGTATGAAAGAGAGAATAATTCTATAGATATACATAAACTTTGTCTCAATTTGTCTCTAAATATCTTTACTTCTATTTTTTTTGGATACATATTTAATTTTTCTCATAAATTTATTCATTAGTGTATTTTTTCTGATAGTTGTTTTTTTTATTTCTTTTATTTTTTTTCTTCTTGTTTTGGTAACATAATATTTTTTTTTTGTGGTATCTGTATAGAAATTGTTTGTTTTAATGCGGTGTTCCGAATGTTCATCGCATCAAAATAGAAAAGGTAAAGAGCGATTAGAACGAGAAAAAAGTGTATGCGTGTGTTTTTGTGTGAAAAAAGGTGGTTTTGAATTGCATTTTCAATGCGAGAATATGTGAATTTTTCTTTTTATTTTCATGTTTTTATCATTTCATTTTCTTCTTCGTTTTTCCTTTCAAAGAGTGTTTGTTTCAAGTTAAATTCCAATAATTCATTCAATTTACTTATAATATCTGTTGATTTTTCTCCATCAAATGTACTTTGTTTTTTTTTTTTTTTGCCTATAAATTTGTCTAAAGAGATATCACTTGTAAATGCTAAGAAAGGTAAACGAGCAACAACTCAATTTGATTCAATTTCATTTCATTATTTTCCCTTGTTTCTTTGTATTTAACTAAAGCCTATAAACGAACCTTGTAAATGCTCCATGTTAACAAGTGGGAATTTGATTGTTTGTTGTGCTTCACATCAGAATATTGATAAATAATTTCTGTGTCGGCTTCATAAAATCAAGGAAAAAAATTAATAACAGCTGATGTAAAAAATGTGGTCGACAAAAAACAAAACGATCAGTACCACCAGATTTGCGTTATGATTTTTTTGTGTTTCTCTCATATCATCTTGTTTATTTGTTTTGATTTTGATTTAGTTAATTTGTGTTGTTGGTTTGGCACCAGATTTTGCGATAATACGTTTTAACACCTTCTATTTCCATACTTTGAGATCAGAATAAACAAAACGAAAGCAATTTTCACTCTTTTCACTTTTTTTTTTTTTGAATGAAAAACTTTTCACCAATCATCTCTGTTCGCACGTTCGCCAATAAAAAAAAATTAAAACAAAACAAAAACGAGATGGAAAAACTCAACACCATATATGGATATATAACTTAACAATGCATTACATGGAGAAAAATCAAAACTGAAATAGTTAACGCAAAATACTTTTCAATGAGTTGTTAAAATCAATCGTACAATAATAATAATGATTGATTGCATTTTATCCTTATTCATTCCACTTGTTATTATTTTATATTTTCTTCTTTTTTAGACGAATTTTTTAGACGTGGTTTTCAATTTGAATGCATTCTCTTTTATCCCTTAGTTGTTTCTTTTATTTATTTTGTCTGTTATCACCTGTGTACGATAGATGGCATAAAGTTGAATGTTCATCTATTCTTTAAAAATTGTTTCCTTTTTATAGTAGTTGCACTACCTGCTGATATCTTGTTGTTGCTGATGTATGTGTGTGTGCACACATGTTTCTAACACTTTTATTTTATTTTAAATATATCCAATCAAATTGAACTTGATTCCGAATTTCCGAGTCGTTCCATCAATTTATCTATTATAATGTTTCTCTAACATGAGAATAATCATCTAATGATTAGTAATCATCATTCTAATATAATATTTTACATAATATACTTTCTGTCACTTAATTTTTTTTTTATTCATAATTTTTCTTTTGTGTGCTTCGAAAATTCGAATCGGATTTGGTTATTTTTTTATTTCTCATTTGATTTCTAATTTCTTTTTTTATTCCCATTGAGTGTCTCTCTCTCTGTGTATATATAAATTCTCACTTATAAATATAAACGCACAATATGTGCTCACTAAATGTACTCATAGTTTGTTTTTTTTTTTCTTTGTAATTTTTCTAGTACTATTTTTTCTGAATTAATTTGATGCTCATCGTTTGTCCATTCTACTGGCAAATACAAAAACTCCGTGGTGATTTTTTTGGTGAAGCAGAGATAGAGAATAGTGAATGTGAGATAGTTGAGTACATAGTGTATCGTATAATGAAGTTTGAAATGAAAATAGTTTGTGAGATATTAGAATCAGAGTGAAGTTTATAGGTGAAATTTTTCTTTTAAATCATTTTCCATTATTTTTTATTCATATTTATTCATTAATATGTTTTTTTTTAAGAGCGATTGTAACGCAGCTATGGTATGTCGATATTTAAATGAGAATGTTAAAATTGTAAAGAAAGTAGCTTAGCTACTTGGAAATAGTAGGAGTAGTAGTAGTAGTAGTAAGAGTATGAAAAATGGGAGAAAATAAATTTTTTATGAGTTAAATTGAGATATTTGATGATGTTACTTTTCTTACAATCAAAAAATATCTCCTATTTCTGTATATTTTGTGATTTTTTTTTCTTTCTTTTTCATTTTTTTTTCCTTTCTGCTTTTCAGATAAATTCATCTGTATTTGTGTTATTTATATCTTGCTGTCATCTAAATAAATTCGAATATAAAATATTATATTGAAAATAGACATGATTTTGCTGCGCATTTTATTATTTATATGTTTTTTTGTTGTTGTTTAATTTTTCTTGCAATGATGGAAGCAATGGTTTGAAAAATCAGTTTTGTGAATGGATATTTCAATTGGAAAATAACCATTATAAAAATAAAGTGTGCGTGTGCGTGTGTGTGTGTGTGTGGGAAAATATTGTAAATCGAAATTTTGTGACTATAGGTGTGTTTTGATTGGCATGTGTGCATGTGCGATGCGCGCTAGGAATAACGTGCTTAGCATTTAGTATTTCAAGAATAATCGCTAAATGGCCATTGTTAACGATGCAAAACGATGTGTTTCATTGTCGTCATCATCTCCTTCTTCTTCATTCTATTTAGTTTTACTCCTTTGAACCATTACAAAAGCAATAGCACCGATGTTATCGGCAATGCGTGCATGTGCGAATGAGTCAGTGACTTCTACTAATTTAATCTTTGAAAGTGTGCATTTTAAAGGAGTCCATGTGATTTACATCATTGTACAATAGATATGATATGATTTGTGAGTGTGTAAATTGCATGATAGTGTGTGGCTGCGTATGTTGCTCGAGTGTTTGAAATAACATATAATGGGTGCAAACCAACTTTACTATTGTATATTAGTGTTATGCTTAAACGCGCGTCATTCAAGGTGGGATGTTGCCTTTTATGTCTAATCAAAATAATTTCATTTGCATTGGTAAATTAATGCGTTAGTTTTCAGTGATAGCGCAAACAATCTCATCTCATT